GTCATCTGGAATTGGTTCCAACAAACCTTTCTCGAAAAGAATGTTAACAGCTCTGACAATGTTGCACTTACCTTTTCCGAACAATGGGTTTGTAAGACTTTCGTTCAACATGAAGTGGTTGTGGAAAAGTACAATCTTCAACCATGGCAATTTGAAGTCAACAACATAGTCGTCATGAGACGAACCTTTCTCAGTCGGTATGTTGACTCGGATATTCACATTTGCCAACGGTGCAACTTTAGCCAGTTGACCTCTAAGAATGTACCTTGTTTTCACACATGACTCAAGATACTTCATCTTCTCTTCTGAAACAAGACCAGAGTTCCTGAGACATGTAAGAATACAAGGTTCATTGACAATTGTTTCAATTGAATTGTAAATTCCATACCTTGTTAAGTCAATGTCAGACTTATTTCTGAACGGGAAGTATCCAGCATGTTGTCTGACTGCTTGAGGGTTGGGTTGATACCATTCAAACTTTACGCTTGCAATTCCTTCAATCGCATTCAAAATATCTGAGTCGGAGTCAACCATTTGTTCTCTCTTTGTAGTCTTGAAAGCGTCAAGAAGTTGTGCGGCTGTTGTGACATTGCCATGTGCATAGTAAATGTGACCATCCAAATCTGTTATGGTCAATCTGAGATTGTATCCTTTCTTATTTCCGTCTTGTATGGCAGCAAGTACACCCATGAAGCCTTCTTTGTTCTTTCCTTCGTCAAAGTTTACTGTAAAGGTTCGACCAGAAGTAATTTTACTTCTAACTTCACGATACTTTTCATATGCATATCTTGTTCTTTCCATGGGAGCATGTGCGTCTTCACCTTTTCCTTTTTTCCTTCTCAAAGGATGCAATTGTTCGTCATGTTTCCAGTAGAATCTGGCAAAGCCGTCGTGTCCTTCAATCTGAGGTTCACTAACATCGAAAGGCATGTTCATAAGACGCTCTTCTTCTAACCTCTCCAGTCTGTTTGGATAATTGGCGCGTGCTGTTTCTAAGTCCATTTCGTAGCGAAGACCAGCCAGTTTGTCATAGACTTTTATGGGTCTTCCCTTCCTATATTTAAAATTCTTTGAAAGTCTCCAACCATATCTTTCTAACTCTGCTTTTATTCTAGCAGACCTTCTGTCCATTCTATATGGGGGCATTTTTATAAAAATAAAAAAATGTTTTTTCCTTTACTTTACATAAGCACTCGCTGCCATAAGCCTTTGACGCCAACCCATACCAGCTAATGAAGGTTGACTAAACTTTGGTTTTGGTTTTTCGTCAGTTTTTGGTTTCTCTTCTTCTATCGGTTTTTCGTCACTTTTCGGTTCCTCTGACTTTACTTCACTTGCAGGAACAGTAGTGTCGTTAGTATCTTCATAAATATCATATGCCATCTGTTTTTGTTTTCCTTTCAACTTTTTGTGTTTGTTGTAAAGTTTAGAATATTTCGACTCTAAGTCAATGAGATGTTCTATAATGAACTGTTGGTCAGTGAAGTAAACTTTTCCATCTGTTGTCTCGAAAGCTCCCACAGACTTCAATATTTTATTTGTGAGAGTCTGTTTCTTTTTTGAGATACTAGCCGTTCCATTTCTATGAAAAGTGACTTTGTAGTTAGGGTTTGTATTTCCAGACCTGGCACCTTCTATTATTGAATTTTTCTCTTCATCTGTAAGTTCTTTGACAGGTTTTGACAATGGTTCTGAACTTTTTGTTTGTGGTGTCAAATCTACCGTTTCAACTTCTTCGGTCATTTCATCTCAGTAAAAAATTTTAGTTTGGTTTGTTTTCAACTGGTTGCTGAGGTTTTTTAAGTCGGTCTAAAACTTCCTGAGGTATAGGAAGAACTTGACAAACACGTGGTTGTGTAACTGCTGGAAGCCGACAAATCCATCTTGAACCCATTTGTCTCAAAGCTGTATTGTTCATTTCATCTCAGTAAAAAATTTTACATTCCCCACGTTTGAGGCGGTTGAGGTTGGTTGTTGTTTACCCACTGTTGTGCATGGTTATATCCTCTGTTAAAGAATCTTTCACCTTGGTCCATATAGTGCCCTGCTTGGTTATAGTAGTCATTTGCTTTGTTATAGTAGTTTCCTGCTTGTCTTCCTACATTGTCCATCCATCCTTGAACTTTTCCTCTTGTTTCAGGATTTGGAATAAGATTTGCTGCATCTCGTGCTACATCCCAACCTTTCTGTACAGTTTGTATAATAGGTTGTGCTTTCTCTTTAAGTATACCTAATGTACTCAAAATCTTCCTTCCAACTCCAAATACACCTCTGGCTATTGTTCCCACTGCTGGTAAAAATCTAGATGCGACTCCTGCTAATGCGCCAAATAAACCCATTTCTTATGGGTTAAAAATGACGAATCCAAACAAGGACCCCTATGTTTCTAAGGCAACAAAGAAAGCACTCATGGTAAAAATCTTTAGTTCAACACCAAATGCTTGGTTTATGGATATCTTGGAAAACATTCCGAGATATAGAGAAGATGGACCACCATACTGGCTAATATTTGTTGGTCAAAACACAAGATACTGTGAAGCCATACCATTATGGTCCAAAAATATTTTAGATGTGAAAACTGCTTTGACAATATTCGTTGACAAATACCATCCAACAAAACTGACATCTGACTGTGAAAGTTCTTTCAAATCAGACGATATTAAAAACTATCTGCGTTCAAAAAATGTAAACCAATATTTCATTGTCGACCAAAACCATTCTGCTCTTGGTGTCATTGACAGTTGTATAAAAATCTTAAGAGACTTAAATCAACCACAAGGTGGTGAAGCAAATGAAATGTCATATGACGACAAATATAGACACTTCTCCATGGCAAAGATGAGACAAGTTTTAAATATTTACAATACCCGTAAACAAAAAGGTTTGGGAAACCACTCCCCTGAAGAAATGAAAAACAACCCTGACTTAGAGAAAGACTATATATTTAACAATTTAGTCAAAAGAGACAAACAAGAAAGAATGCCAGGCTTCAAACTTAAGAAAGGTGACAAAGTAAAAATAGAAATACCTAAACGCGACCCATATGAAAATACTATTGACTATGACAACAATGGGAACTCGACAGGTACTCACATTCGTGTTCGTAAAAATAGAAGAAAGTATACAAGAGAATATTATGAAGTTTTAGGCAAACATGGCAAAATGTACACACTGCAAGCAGAAGATAAAACTACTATTGTCAGACCTCGTTTCAAACTTGTCAAAGTTCAAGGTGGTATACTTTCAAAGACAGTTCCTAACAAATATAAGACAACTCCTGACGAATATGCTAAAGAAGTTGAAAATGACGACTAAGCAATTCTATACCATGCGTAAACTGTCATGTAAGGTGGCATGTAGTCTTTACTTTGTCCCGTTGTTTGCGTATACCCTGAAACGCGATGTGTATGGTTTCCATCTCCCTGTGTGCTACCCCAGAAACAATTTATAGCAAACTGAACGTCGTCTTTAACATCATATCCTTTACCTTTTTTCATTGCTGACCAATCCCAAAATCTATGCTTATGCCAACCTGCTTGAGATGTACTTAAATCTACGTAGTGACTGTGTGCAGGTAAGTTTTCACCTGAAATCGTTTTACTTCCACCTGTTTCCTTTGAAGAGTTTGCACAATACAAAAACCTGTCGACTATTTGTTCCCATGCACCAACACCAAACATTGCTTGAGGACCTCTTGCTTCCATTGACGTATAAATAGAACCTACTGGGTTCATTAAATCAAACATATGAGATATTATAGGATTGTCTCTTTTGAACTTAAAATATAGTGCAACTATTTCAGGTTTCCTCTGGTTCATGTCAGAATATTTTTTATAATATAATCTTATGTTTTCAGGGTAGGTAAAGTCTTGACTATAATATTTATTTCTGTCATCTGTATAATAGTATACTATTCTCGTTTTTTCTATTGCATTATATCTTTTATATCTATAAAAATCTAAATATAATGTTTGCTTTTGTTCATCTGCGTGTAGTGTTCTTTCGTCAACACCATAGTCATAATAGTATGGTGCTGGAGCTGGGTCAGGCAATGTCATATCTGCCATTTCATAAACTCTTAAATATTTCTTTTGTTCGTCTCCATATAAGTTTAAGTAGCAGTTGTTGTCTAATGGAACTTTAACTTGTGTACCATCATTCTTTATATAGCTTACATACATTTCATTGTTATTTTTCGGAATGAGTTTATACCGTATACCATTTCTTAAGGACTGTACAAACTCCCATCTAAAATATTTGTTTTCTTCATAGATAGAAAAGTCACCAACCATAGTTTCAATATTTTTTGTTCCAACTAAACTTTGGTATATTTCATTGACATATGTTTTATCTGCTTTCTTTTCAAGGCTAACGTTTAAGTCTGTTATTTCAGATATAGAATGTGTATGTCCAACGTCACTTTTCCTGTTTAAGGTTTCTTGTAAGTTTGTAATATTTGCAATGGTATGTATATGTCCAACGTCACTTTTACTGTTTAAGGTTTCTTGTAAGTTTGTAATATTTGCAATGGTATGTATATGAGTCTTTTTAGAATATTCTTTGTCAGCTCTTGTCACTTCACTTGACATTTTATTGTCAACATATGTTTTGTCTGCTAGTTCAGGATGAGTATGTTCTTTTGTTGCATATGTTGCATCTGCTCTGTCATGTTCTTCTTGAACTTTTTCAATGACATACTCTTTGTCAGCTTTGTTGTCAACATCTGCTTTCAAAAGAAGTTCATCTATAGGTTTCTCGTTTAAAGTTCCTTTTGTTGGATTTACACAGACAGTATGGTTCTTACTGTCTTGAAACAGAAACTCATCTGTCATTGGGTTTATCGTCAGTTTTAAGTTTCCTTCTTTCAATGACTCAGATATCTTAGAATAGTTTGAAAAGTTTGTTGTGTTCTTATTTAGAGCTTGTACAATGAGTTGTCGGTTGTGTTGTATTTCTCTCATAGACGCTGTTTCTTTCGACATTTTTATTCTAGATAAAATATGCTTTCAATAGAAAAAGAAAATTCTAGAGTTGCTACAACTAAACCATTAGATGAACTTTTTACGAATGTCGGTCAAAAGTTTGAGACAGAGACCGTAAAGCATGAAGGCTATCGTTTTGACTACCCATTGAGATGGCTAAGAGACCCATCCGTCACAAAAGCTGTTGGCTTTCGTAGAATGAAGTTCATTTCAGAAGCCATACATGGTTTCCCATTTACGGTCGGTTTTGAAGTTCGATACTATAACAAAGAAAAACATACGTATGAGAAATTTGAACAGGGAAAACTTTTACAAGTGAATTTGCTTGTAAACTTAGAAACAACTCTTCAAGCTTTTCAAGAAAAAATAAACGATATCTATCTCGAATATGCAAACCAGTTTAACATTGACGAAGGAGAGTACCATCTCGATATTTTATATGACAGGAAAAATGCAACTGTTAAAATCAATAAAATAGAAGACCTTGGAGACAACGTTTATATTTCTACAAAATATAACAACTTGGCATGGTATAGGTTTCTGAGGATGTTAAATCAGCCTGCAGAATATCCAGTACACCCGGACTTTTATGAAGTCGAAAACCCTAATGGAACATATGAAAATGTTTTCGACTCAGATGCTATTATAGTTCATGCTTCATTTTCTGGTGCACAAAACTCTTTTTTATGCTTGGCAAATGACTTTTACGAAAAACCTACAAAGCTATATGAACCACCGAGTGGAAGTATTTCAGACTTTCAAGTATGGTTTACAACAGATGGAAGAAAGAGAATAATTCCATTATACCACGCGTTTTACTTAGAACTTAGTTTCATATACAACTACTATCGAACGGTAAAAATATGATTTTTAATACGGTTGAGGTGTTGGATTTGGTTGCCAACTAGACTGTGGTGCAGGTTCAGGCTGTTGTATAACAGGAGCTTGTTCTTCTGGTTCAGGGTCTTTAGGTATAATACCAATGAACTGACCTACTCTTTTACCAATATTTTTGACTCCGTTCCATACTCCTCTTCCGACAGATTTTATTCCATTCCATATACCTCTTCCAACTCTTCTGAAGAAGTTTCCAATACTACTGAAGAAACCCATTTTACTATATGTAAAAATCTAATGTCCGCCTAGTCTCTTACGTTTCCTGTTGAGTTCCATTGCATTCTTTAACTGGAGCTCATACATTCTATTTCTCCTCTGGTAGAAAACATACTCTGGGTCAACTCCTGTGTTCGCGTCATCTGCATAGAGTTGTTTATATCCCACTTCAGGGTTTGTATAAAACTCTTTCCATCTCATATTTGCATACCATGGTGGCAAACCTAACGCAGCGTCATTTGACATGGCAGTTTGCATTTGTACATCTGTTGGCACTTGACCATAGTTTGCCATTGCAGTTTGTATTCTAACTTCATTTGGAATATTCTCTGGGTTTGGTTGTCCAGGTTGCTGTGCATTCGCTAAGTTCTGTGCGTCCATTTAATATTAGATAAAAATATCTCTTACGAGTACATATGCCGAACATTTGCTGGCATCGGTTCATCTTCATATTCTCTGTACCTTTCTGCCACGTCAAATAAGTAAATGACACAATGGAAAAAACCTAAAACAAGTAGTCCTATTTCAAACCACATTTAGTTACTAGTAAAATTTCTTTGTTATGACACTTTCTCCAGTTTATAGGACCTCTCTCATATTCTATCTTGTCATATCTAAACTCATAGTCATGTATGTCCTCTAACCATCTCATAACGGTTTCCAAACCACTTTTATCGGATGTAAAGTAAAAGCATGGATGGTTATGTAAAACGTCTAAAGTTTCTAAAGAGTCTCTCAAAGTCCAGTCTACTTGGTATTGAAAATCCCATGTGTTATAGAACGGCGGGTCCACTATAAAGAAAACATTTTCCTTGTCTTTAAATTTTTCATACAACTCTGTCCAATGACATCTCACAAACTCTATACCCTCAGTATATTTTTCTATGTTCTCTTTGAAAACATTTGTATAGTTAAGATATAAAACTTTTGACATAAGTGTTTCAATGTCATGAACTCTTATAGCACCACTATATAATAGTCTAGCAGATATACTATCCCAGTCTATATATTCTGCTTTTTTCAAAACCTCTCTCACAATATTTTTCTTATCTAATGGTATACGTTCCATCTTACCTATAGGTATCTTTTCTTTCAACTCACTCAATATTTTGTTTGTGTCTGGTATATGTTTGAGACGGTTCATATAGTTGTCGAAGTCATTGCATATAATCTTTGAGTCTGGGAATACGGTATGGCACAAATGAGATATATAGAAACTTCCACCGAACAAATCTACAAATGTTAGACCATTCGGTAGTTTCTTAAGTTCTCTCAATAGAATATCTTTACATCTACTCTTATTTCCAAAGAAGGGTAACGGTGGTTTTGTAAAATTCATTTTATATACAATAATAAAAATGTTTTTCCCTGAAAAGTGACAGAAAAGTGACTGGGGCTAGAGGGCGCAACGCGCCTGGATGTTGTAAACAGAAATTCATCAAAAGTGACACCTCAGAAAAGCTAAAATATTGAATTTTTGGAACTTTTGATAGAGCACGTTTTTAAATATTAATTAAAGTAAATGTATATTTTGTAAAGATTCTTTTTAATAAAAAAATAAAATTTTGAAGAAGAACACAAAATCTTCTGAAAAATAATATCACATAAACTCATATTATTTTCTAATATATAACTATTTTATATAAAAATCAAATTCAATGATCTTAAAAGCGAAGGATAAACCTCAAAATTTACGAATATAATGAGTGGGAATATAATGCTTATCTATCATAAAACCATATGAAATATCAATTTTTGCTTTACGCCTATTCCCACTCATTATATTCGTAAATTTTGAGGTTTATCCTTCGCTTTTAAGATCATTGAATTTGATTTTTATATAAAATAGTTATATATTAGAAAATAATATGAGTTTATGTGATATTATTTTTCAGAAGATTTCATTCTATATGCCTATGAAAAGTACTCTCAAAACTAACTTTTCCCTAATTATAATTAAATCTAGAATATTGTATTATGTTTAGTATTATTTCATTTTTCTCATTCAATTTAGAATTTACAAATGTCAAAAAATTGAGAGCTGTCACTTTTGATGAATTTCTGTTTATTACACGCAACGCGCCTGGAAGCCCCACTACCTTTTTTTTTTTTTTTATATTCATAAAGATTTTCCAAAAATATGATACCGCAAAATTAAAAAAGTGACGTCTTGAGTGGAGTCAAAGGTCGAAATTGCTAGCTAAATGTTTTTTTAGCGAAATTGCGTATTGTACGTTTTTTTCGCAAAACGAAACCCTTATTATAGATAATCCTTTAACTCCAATTTTTCTTGGAATATTTCTAAAAATTGAAAATTCCTAAGCAACACGCTCTTGAGTAGTAGAATGTGAATGAGAAAATATTTATGAATAATTTGTAATGACCATTCACTATAACTTCGTGAATTCATCTTATGAACCAAAATTTCTTATTTAAAACTGTTTGCGACGCTCTTTAATCGGATTACTCCAAACTTAATTTAAACCATTGTGCATGTGATATATGTTATTAAAGCTAGTTCAAAAATTTAAAAAAAATCAAGATTAAAATTGGTTAAGATTTTTGCATCATCATCATTAACAATCGAGAAAATCATATTGGTTTAAGCATAGCTTTTGTTCGAGACTAAGCCACACACCTTTCTGATAAGAAATCTTCTTTTCCTGGATAAAAGTAAACTCTAGGAAGGCCTGATTAAAAATTTATAATAATCTATCGAAATGGGCATTATTATCATTCATTAGTTACCTTAACAATCTATCAATAAAATTTGAATTAATTTTTCATTATAATTTTGTGCTAACTAGATCATAATGCAATCAATGCAATTTAGCTAATATTTTGGAAACATTAAAATATAATATAATCATTAATCATATAAAACAATTACAATATTTTTCAATGAAATCGAATTTGTTATAGACCAAAATAATACATTAATAGTATATTTTATTGACAAACAAACAAAAGATATTACTTATGTATTGCACCTTCAGATGCAACTTTCTTTCTACCTCCAGCTCTTTTCTTTGAAGCTGCTTGAAGGTTCTTCATATCATACAAGTTCTTGTTAAGGTAATAGAACTCAATTACCTCCTTTACAGACTTATCAGGCAGGAACGAAGCGATTTTAACGAAATCTTTAGGATGAGAACACCATTGTTCAAGAAAGATGTTCTTTTCTTCCTCAGACCATTTAACTCTTTGTTTATAAACATGATGCTCGGATACAGGATCATTAACAAGCCTTGCATCAGTATTAAATTTAAACACATCTTTTTCAGCAGGGTTAATAATCATCGGAGTATCATCAGCAACAAATTCCATGTATACTTTATCATCTGCGGTCTTTGTCATAGATTCTGGCATGTCTTCTGGCCATGGGAAAACTGGATTTTCTGCTATTGTATCAACAGCATCGCATTGAGTATTCCAAATTCCCCGCATTGTGTCATATTGCTCTGCAAGAGCTTCTTCTTTCTCTTTTTCAATCATTTTAGTATAAAATACAGACGTAAATAATAATGGTAATAAATCTTCATGTTCTCGTAAATCTTGAACTGCATAAGGCGCATGTGAAGAAAACATCATTCTTTGATTAGCATCAACGGATGCTTCTTTGGCTGCTAGTTTTGCATTATTCTTATTTTGTGCAATTACTGAATCAACTAAGTTCATATTTGCAATAAAACCTCCAACATCAACGACACCAAGAGAATCTGGTTGACTTTCGACATGAGAAACAACTCCTACAGTTTGTGGTGCTTGACGAAGTGTAGAAAGATCAATTTGGTATTCAATAATTTGTGAATCAATTTTGTTTTTTTCATCAAGTACTTGTCCTTTTGTTGGAAGTGATGGATATGGCGCTGCAGGTATTGAATTTTTCTTTGCTGGTGTAATTGCTTTCCAACTATGTTCTTTTCTGTAAGATTTATAATTGTCTTTGGGAGAACGATGAATTTGTTGGTAAGGTCTATTTAATGGAGGGGCAACTCGTTTTGGGCCATCAGAGTAATTAGAATTGCCCGGACGCATTAAATAAAAAAGAGTATGAAATTCTATAAAAGTGACGCTGTCACGATTCCGAAGTAATGAATTTTTGATATCCATTTTCACGGTGAAAACATATATGACTAGCATTTTGATTACTAACTTAATGGGAAAAAGAACAAAAGAACGAAAATAATAAAGAAATATTGAGAAATTGAATGATAAAAGATGTTTTGACTAAACGATCTTGTTTGCATTCAAGAATTAAATACATTCTCACCTTCTCATTTAAATCCAAGCACTTATTTTTTCCAAAAAAAATTCAAAAATCCAAAAATGATTTAAAATATTTTATACATGGCACGGCGGGCGCAAAAAGTGACAAAATAGAATACCTATGGTGGCAAGACAAAGGAAACATTTTTGTAAGGCAAACATTATATCAAATACCTTTACTTTGTAATAAGAAATATAATTATCACGAAATTACAAATAAATATTGTTTAATATAATTAATAGCAAAATTCTTTTTTATTATTTCCCTTAAGACCTTACTTATTAAGTATACGTATAACAAGCTTGTACTGCATGTATTAGTTAATAGAACAAAAGAAAATGAGCTCAAATGAAAAAAATTTTCATGCTATTTTGGAAATATGCATATTCGAAGTATGAGAGTTGTAAACACTGAGAATTTTAAGCTTTGGTTGATGATAGTCTTTAATTTTTCTTGAAGTAGTAAATTATTTGATATGAAAATTTAATGGCCAGCATAATCAATCGTGCGTTTCGTTTCTTGATTGAGAAACGATGATTATGTGCTAATGAATTATTGCGTCTGACAGGTTATGATTATGGATACCTGAAATTAAGCTTTTATGGGAAACATCACCGAGCGCCATTTGGCGCCCCTAATGCTGTTTCTATCGGTATGATTAAGGAGATTTCTTATGCACTTTCATCACTTGAACTTGAACGCTACAAGATATATGCCCCCCTCCCAATGGGAGGTGGGAGCAAAAATTGAAATGTTTACATTGATTTTTGAATACTTTACAGGCGCGGGCGCAAGTGATCGGGTCAAAAAAAATCATAAAAATATTCAAAAAGGCGATTTTAATAGATGTTTAAGAAGTAAATTTATTAATAACGATATTTCATAGTACAAAATGTGTTCAATCTCTTCGTAAATCATTCAAAAAAATCAAAAGAATTTCCAAAATTCAATTTTTTAGTAAAATTTATATCTTTTTCTATCGTCTCCTCCCCACCAGTGGGAGCCACCGGAGGCGCGGGCGGCGCCGCTGGCGCCAAAAAAGTAGCGCCCATCGTGCCATGTATAAAATATTTATATTTTAAGGATGCCCTCACCATGTCAGATTTTTTGTGCACGTAAAACTTTTGATATACTTAAATCTAGAATCGGGTATTCTGTCATATATATTAATTTTTTATAAGCTACTAACTCTAATAATATTTCTGAATAATAATTGTTTTTCACGATATTCAGATTTGATTTAAGGCCAAAATCGCACATAATCAAAATATCAATCCGTCACAATTTTTTAAATTCCAATGGTATTCTACCATATTGATTATACGGATACAAAATTAACATTCATGAAGTTATTAGATTAGGAAAATTGAATGAACCACATTCAATTTTTTTGATTTTCCTCTCAATTTTATAAAGGATATAACTCAAGAACATGTAACATCAGGAATTGTTCAAATATTTGAGTAGAGTCATTCCTTTTTGGATAAAAGTCTGACGGAACGATATTTTAAAAAAGATCTAATATGAAGAAATTAAAAAATCTAATTTTATCAAAATAAAGGTTTATTCAACAGTATGCAAACCACAAAAAATTTGCATGCAAGAGAAAATTCTGGCATCAATGCTAGTAAACAATAACTATTATTCCGACCTCTGGATTTTTTTGAAAAAACGCGACAGACTTACCATCATGTTTTTTTGCATATTTGAAATGTGTATATAGTATATAATATGAGTTTCATCCCGTTTTTTTTTCCGATGAGTTTTTAAAATTTGATCAATCAAATATATTAATTTTTCGCCAATGAAATACAATATTTTATAATTTAACATGAGTTTATTGGTATCAACTCGATTATTTTAGAAATATAAGTATGATTGCTTATTGATCTAACAATTCATGGAAAAATCTCTGGATTTTTGGTACACAGCTTTACGATATGGTACCTAAACTAGGTCGAACAACATATTTAACAAAAGACATTGCTGTGTCCCATATCTTGCTTTGTTTGGAAATTGTAAACGGCAATCCAAAAAAGTGCTGTGTATTCTAGTGTAAGTAGAGAAAATTTCATAATTATTGTGAAATAATAATATTTACTTGCAACTCAAGTTTATTTTAGTAGAAATAAGGGGAAATATTATTCTATTTTTAAATTTTTACACTTTTGAATACTCTTCAGAATTTCTTTGAAAATTTAAAACTCATTCAACTCGACATAGAAAGCGATCTAGAGCCCCAAAGTTTTACTACAATAATAATCATATATTTCAAGTATTTTTATGGAATGTAAGGGCATCCTTAATGTCAAAATCATTAAATCGCAAAAATTTTGAATAATAAGATGCACTGTAATTTAAATATGCTAACTAATTGTTATCAATTTTTTTTGTTTTATTACAGAAAATCTAATTTTTGATTTATTTTTTAGTCTAAAATAGTAGTTACAGCTTTCTTGCTTCCACGTTTGCTAATATTATAAAGTGCAAACTATATACTCAGTGCATTTAGCATCCATAGATCTCATCCAAGAGTAAATTTTAGACGAAAAGCATTAGAACCAGATGGAAATACAAAAACTACTATTACCAATAGGGAATGCATTCAGTCAAATATGAGAGAAGCTTTGAAGATAAAGATATGTACTAAAATTTCTAAACGGATATAAAATCTACTTGAAATGAGTGTCGAAGTAAGTGAAGATAAAATGGTAAAGTTATTTTTAAAGAAAATTAAAGCAACAAAAAAGAGATTTATGGATGCTATCATACGATGCAATGCTCTTGAAGATCAATCTCAAGTCGAAATGCTTCGCTCGGCCGTAAATGCAATTTCAAATACAATTGCTGCTCTCACTCAAAAAACAGCTAGTTTATCTGACCTGAAAAGATATCATATCAAAGTAGATCTCGTAGATGATCCAGAAACATATCCTGCAGAAGTAAAGCTCGAATTACGACAGAAAGAAAGATCACACCCATTACCACTAAATCATAAAATAGTAGTTAAGCCTCCAATGGGAGACAGCGTTTCAACTAAAATCGTTAAAGAGAGAAATGCAAAAATGAATTACACTCATAAGTTTGACTTTGGACCATGTGTCGAAAGTACAGTTAGAATGGTTACTGGAGGAGATATGGAATTTGATATCATGAGAATCTCCAGTGTGATGGGGCAGAAAAAGACTCAACTAATAGCTCTTGCTACTGCTCCATTGAATCAGCTTAGTTTTTCATCATCATTAACAATACCTTTACATTTTGTTAATATTGACGGATCAAAAACACAGTATATCTTCGAAGCAATGTTTACAGTCGATAGACCATTAGTGCCTTTAGAAGAATTGAGAATAGACGAAAATATAGATGTTATTCCTGAATAAAATTTTTATCATGCTGTTTTTATTATAAATAACTACTATACACTTCCTAAAAATACTAGAATAATACACCCAATAGCATATAATTTTATGAAAATATTGAAAATGAATTCTTATCATTTTTAACATCTCTCATTGACTGAAACTTATAAGGCTCAGAGAATACAAATATATCACATTAGTATTTTCTTGATTAGGTTATTATGAGCTTTTCAATTCCTACTTTCATGGCAAATAGCTATAAATAACTATGAACTATGCATAGTATGTTGGAGTGTTGATTTTTTAGCACCTGTTGGCATTAAATTATTCGAGTAATAGTGCTACATATGATACGTTTTGATTTGCACCAAAATTTTGCAAAAAGTGACAATAACAGAAATGGAAACTCGAGTTACAACAGCTTCAATCAATGCATACATTTTGAAAACAGGTAGCGAGAAATGCGTATCAGTTTCAAGGAACACTTTGATCGAAATGCTCGAGACATATAACGATATTTACTTCGATTTAGATGAAGAATTGTTTGTCAATGATCCAAATCCTGATAATCCCCAACCAGTCATTGACGTTCTACTTCTAGTTAAATCCCCGTACACTCCACATATCGATTTCTTCAAAGTCGGTGCACGTTATTTAAGAATTTTATCGCGCAAACCAGCCAACTATCAATATTTCGATGCATCATGTCATAGGCTTATGAAATTACTTTTGTCAATACATGACAATGCTCTTAGTATTGAAGCCTGCCATATACTTTTGAGAATTTTATCTCATTTGCCTTATATTCGCACAGTTCTTAAGGATCCTGAGGCATTTTTCCAATCTTTATACCAATGCTTACAGAGTAATGAAGATAATCTTGCTGTTGCTGCAGCAGCAGCTTTTCAATCTTTTGCTTATCACCAACCAGGAAAAACATACATTTGCAATAAAGGCGTTCACGTTAAAGCTCTTTCCCTCATGCTCGAAAGACCAATTACTTCTCCTTTATTCGAAAGACTTCTTGGATTTTTGAATAATATGTCCAGTGAAGCTGTTGTTGTTCGAAGCATTAGAGAGAGTGGAACAATTACCGATGTTATAGAAGCACTAACTCTTAAGCCAATTACAGATTTAACTGTTGATGCAGCTGGTGTTGTTCAGAACATCGCAAGAGAAGAAGAATCCAGGAAAAAACTTCTTGAAGGTGGTGTAATTGATGCTTTGCTCAATCTTACAGTATCTGATAACCTTCAGGCACAAGTCAGAGCTATTGGCGCGATCATCAACATTCTTGGTCCACAATGCGATGATATTAACACTCTCAAGCAAGCATTATCTCGTATGATAGCTTTATCTGCTCTTGGAAGAGCTTTGTAGATTTAAACTGTTTGATATTATATATTTATGTAATTATTCACAATAATATTTGTTTATTTATCCATAAATTCCTGCAGTTGAAGTATATTATCTGTCAAGCAGCATCAATACTTTGCCAAATGAAAATTGAATTATTAAATCATCCGAAAATACTAATGGTGTTTGGAAAAAATACAAGTTGTACGATTTATAGCATGCGTATATATCAAATGGATCCCATACTCAATTAATAAGAAAGATGCGTTCAATCTGAAAGAAGACAAGATTGATTAAATATTCACCAAATAAAAAGCTATGCCTAAATCAGCTATAATGAAAGAGAAAAAAGGAAAATTTTCAAAAGAATTTTTTCAGGAAAGAAATTTGGATAAAGAAAATGGGTTCCCACAACAAGGAAATGCTTTTCATATAAGAGAATACAAGAATTTTGCACAAGGTCAAAATTCAGTAACAATATAAAAGTGACAGTGATGGCGGAGGAGGATGCCGAATCTCCTCATGCCGTAAAAACTCCGAATGCATTCATTTTGTTTTCAAATGAGGTTCGGCGAGAAATTTCTTCGAAGCTGCCGTTTTCGCAGATTAGCGTTGAAATTTCAAACCGTTGGAAACAATTAGATGAAACATCAAAGCAACGATATAAAAACAGAGCAAAAGAATTACGAGAGAAAGAACTATCAAAAAATACAGAAGCGAAAATCAAATATAAAAAGAAAGAGGATCGAATTCAAGATAAAATAGTTAAAAATTTCCTTGACATAGATTCTTTTTCATCATTATTCGACCTTGCATCTAAAACGCCCGCTAAATCCAAAAAGAACAGGCCGACCGTTCCAAAATTTTTACATTTAAATCCAAAAAAGCCTCCAAAGAGGCAGCATCAACCACAGTAGATACTGTTTATATTATTGCGTTGTTATTATATTAATAGATATATTATAGAGATAACTTTCTCGATTTTTGTTTAAAATCGAACTGTTTTGTATATATTTTATAGAGCTGATTAAATACATACTGTGTGTATTAATTATTACTTTTTAACTTTTTATATTTTTAATGAATCCTTTGCCTTAGTATCTCAAATATATCAAAATGCATTTTGCTTCATGTACCAAGAATAGTACCACTATATCAATGCATTTCGATAACAAATCAATTTCAAGATATGTATATAAAGGGAAAAAGTAATGTATTGTATGATGATAGTATAATAGTCCATCAAAAATGCATGATAATGGCTGCTTGATTGCTCTTAGTAGTTATATCTCCATTCAAAATTTCTTTATAAAATCTCCAAAATTTGAATTTGTCACTTTTTTGTATTATAAAATCGATGACATATCAATTATCTAGTGCAGGTTATACAGGAAGTAGGCTTTGCCGCCCCGGCACGGCAAAGCTCGCAGAGATATTAAATGCACCCGCAGACATTATATACTATGCGTGTGGGTGGAAATTCAATGTATTCTACACATCGGCGCATCAATGGTTTGGATGCGGTGATAACGAATTCAACCAAATGGGATATACAAGCGGTGACACCGATAAAATTCATGTACTTGCTCATCTAAAAGACATAATTCCAACAATTTTCGTTTGCGGTGATAAATTTACAGCAATAGTTTCAGAAGACGGCCTTTTGTACACAATGGGCCACGATTATGGCCGCACACCAACAAAGAGAACACTCGAACATAAAATATCATTTATTGCAGCCGGACAACAATCATTAGTCGCGATTCCAGACGGCCCAGGCATCTACTTTTGCGAATCTGGTAAGTCAGAGATGAAATACGAATGTAAAAACATTACATTTGTCGATGCAGCTGCAGGAGAGACACAATTCCTTGCGTTATCGAACGACGGCCGCGTATTTTCATGGGGTAAAGGTAAACCATGCGGACAAGGCAGCAAATTCGTCAGCCAAATACCAAAGCCAGTGAACATCGAAGGAAACCCAACAATTGCCCGTGTTTTCGCATACAACAACACATCATTCTTACTTGATACGGATAACCATCTTTGGGCAGCCGGTAACAACAAAAACGGGCAAGCAGGTCTCGGTCCATCAATTAAAGTTACAAACACATTCTTACGAATTCCAGATTTCACCGACAACACTATTACATCTGTCTCCGTTGGTGATGCTATGTCATACGTTCTTACAGAACAAGGTGAAGTCTTTTCTACAGGTGATGGTGACGATTCACGTTTAATGCAAGACCACATTGATTCATCATCAGTTTTCAGTCCATGTGCTCTTCTTAAACGTAAGCGTGTTTGCTTTATTTCTGCTGGATGTTCACATGTTATTGTTGCATCCGGTATGCGAAGTATTTTACCACATCCTATCCTTGGGTTGAGTTCAGCCACATCTAGTTACCCTAAAACATTCACAAGCATTTCGAAAAACTTCGTTGTCGACATCAGTGACGCCTCATTCAATATTTTAGGGTACGAACGCGGTGACATTGTTGAATTTGACGGATGTGGCCAAGTTTGTATCGAAGGCTTGATATATACAAACGAAGTTGCACTTCGTAAATCTAACGGCGAAATCATCACCGCTAACGAGAAAGAATACTCAAGTTACCACGCTATTTTTAAACTTGTCTCACGAAAATCAGGCGGTCCATTTGTTGAAAAGTACGGTCGCTCAGACATCAAATACATCTTTGACCAGTCACATGAAAAATGCCTTTACCGTCACGGTTTTGTTTGTGGCGAGAAAGTCAGCCACGAATTACTTGGCGAAGGTATTGTTTATGGTGTTTTAGGGGGCAGTATCTGGTTTGGTTGGAAAGAAGATAACTGGGATGCATCACGCTCTGAATTAGTTGATCCTCTTCAGATCCATTCTCTTCTCAGTATCACCGAATCAAAACGAAAAATCGAACGTATGGAACTTTTTCCAGGTAAGATTGCGAACGTCGAAACAGAACCATGCGACTTGCTTAAGTCATACGGTATTTTGCGTGGTGACATCTGCTTCAACGGTGATAAGTTAGTTCGTGTTTTAGGCAGCTTTTTACACTTTGCAGTTGTTCAAACAGTTGTTGGTGGTAAACTTTCAACCGAATTACCATCTAATTTAATTCTTAAGCGTCGTAAATCGAATTCCCCCGTTTTAACCACGATCATTTCATTGAATGGTCAAGCCGTCGATGTTGATGTTTCATACCGTGAAGAAGACAATCTTTATCCTCTTGACCGCATTTTGAGTCATCGTGGTTTCGGTACCGTCATTGGCAAAGACATCAACAGCTCTGAATATTGGGTTTATATGGACGACATCTATGTTCTTAACGGTGGCTGTATTTTAGTTCCTCACACTAATCTTCAAGTTATTCGACGAATTGGAAGTTGCCAAACAAGTTCTGACATCTATTCATTTAGTTTCGAAACATTCTATGAAAGTAATCTTAATCCCGGTGATGTTTGCAGTATCGAAGGCGATAATTATTTAGTTTTAGGTGTTCAACCAGACGAACATCTTTACAAACTACTTGATTTAACACGCAAAGTAACTATTTGTCGATCAGTTCATGATTCAGATGATTGGGACGTTATCTACCGCTCCGGTTTCGACTACAAGCGTACCGACAAAACACTTCGTAACTTGGAGTGCCAGTTTTCGGTTTGTTTGGAATCATTCGAAGGTCGTCGTATGAAACCCGGTGATTTAGTTTGTACTCCCGAAGGTAGTGCGGTTGTTGTTGGAATGCTTGTTGACGATGTTTGGTTCAAACACGACGAAGATTGTGGTTCAGTTTGTTTCCCTCCTCAATCTATTTTTGGCAGTAGTATCAAAGTCATCAAACGACTTGGAACAGATTTACTTTAATTTTATCTTTTGTATTTTATCATTTATCTTTGATATATTTGTTTTTATATTGTTTTTAATTAAAATTATATAAATTTCATAATTTTTCACTTTCTTTCACCATACAATTCTTTCAAATTTAGAATCTTTGAAATATATAATTCCCATGAATATTGAATAAAGGGTTATATGAGTTCGATGTTGACTTACCAATGCATTTACTGATATTAACTATTTTGTGACATAAATTACAATTTCAAGTAGATTAGATAAAAAATATCAACACACAAATGGATAATCTTAAATACAATGATAATGTTTATTTAGAAACAAGGGAAACAAGAAAAATTAAGAAATTAAATTTATTATTTTGTTTATAGTTAACTTTGATTTCTTCTTCTATTGATTTTATTATGTTTTTTTCTGGAAATTCAAGTTCTAGTTCTGCAAAACATAAACCTGTTGACAAATGATGATTTTCTGGATATTTTGAATCTACTCTCTCTGTTATTGTAACAGATTGATATATCCCAAGATCTGTAATGTCAAAGTAACATCCTTTAACTTCAATTCGATTGGAATCTGCATAGAAATAATGAGTTTTGATGTTATTTTTATAAAAACTGCAATTAATGATATAGAGATTCTTACCACTCCAAATAAGTCTATAGCATTCATTTTCGAAGTAATTACAAAAAAGAATTTTAAATTCAAGTGATGATCCTAAATGCCATGCTTCAGAGCCACCTGTATTTTTAGATGTGTTGTTTGAAAATGTTGAAAATGTTACGTTTGAGTTAGATCTAAAAGAAATAGAGTAGAAATTATTGTAACTCAGTTTTGAATATGAAATATTGATTGATTTAATATTTGTTTCTCCATAGAACAAATAAATATTTTTAAATCCTTCTTTGTTTTCGTCACCGCTTGAAGTAATTGTTGAATCAAGGACATAATTCTTAAATGGAGATGTAGATGAAACTGTAACATAACAATATACACCATCTTTTGGTGTTCTGGAGCCAAAACTGCAGATTCGGTCTTGAATACACTCACCTTTACTAGAACTTACGTATAAAGAGCCACCATTGGCGCTCTTATGTTCGCATTTGTCAAATGAGCTTGTATCAATGAGAAATTTAAGATTGTTGTTTGTTGTGCCTGTGATACGAACTGCACCTGTAGAATTAAGGTAAATAAACAGACAAAGAGAGATGTAATAGCTTTTGTCAACATTGGGACTGGGAGGTTCGTTTTTGTTTCTGTATGTTTCGTATTCGATTGAAGAGTTGAAGAAGTCTTCCCACTCCTCGTGAGAAATAGAAGGAAATATATTGGACTGAAGAATGTACTAAGTGCAAAATTCATCATTTCAATCATTCTTCTCATTGGTCTAGAAATGAAATGGCTGACATTCGAATGAAAAATTTCGCATTTTTTTAATGAAAATTTTGTAAAGTGTCATTTTTTAATTTCATAAAGTTCAAAGAAGTAATATAAGATTTAAAAGTCAACCCCATTTCACAAACACACCAACACATAAAAATGCGAAACAGAAGCAAAACAGACCAACAGACCAACAAAAAGAGCACTTGAACATAAAATACCATTTTTCGCAACTGGATAACAATCATTAGTCTGAATTCCAGACGTCTCAGACATCTAATTTTGTGAATACAATAAGTTACATATGAAATATGAATGCAAAAACATTACATTTCTCGATTCAGTAGTAAAAGAGACACAATTCCTTGCATTTTCAAATGAATGATGCATGTTTTCATGGGGTAAAGGTAAACCATGCGGACAAGGAAGCAAATTCGTCAGCCAAATACCAAAGCCAGTGAACATCGAAGGAAACCCAACAATTGCCCGTGTTTTCGCATACAACAACACATCATTCTTACTTGATACGGATAACCATCTTTGGGCAGCCGGTAACACCAAAAACGGGCAAGCAGGTCTCGGTCCATCAATTAAAGTTACAAACACATTCTTACGAATTCCAGATTTCACCGACAACACTATTACATCTGTCTCCGTTGGTGATGCCATGTCATACGTTCTTACAGAACAAGGTGAAGTCTTTTCTACAGGTGATGGTGACGATTCACGTTTAATGCAAGACCACATTGATTCATCATCAGTTTTCAGTCCATGTGCTCTTCTTAAACGTAAGCGTGTTTGCTTTATTTCCGCTGGATGTTCACATGTTATTGTTGCATCCGGTATGCGAAGTATTTTACCACATCCTATCCTTGGGTTGAGTTCAGCCACATCTAGTTACCCTAAAACATTCACAAGCATTTCGAAAAACTTCGTTGTCGACATCAGTGACGCCTCATTCAATATTTTAGGGTACGAACGCGGTGACATTGTTGAATTTGACGGATGTGGCCAAGTTTGTATCGAAGGCTTGATATATACAAACGAAGTTGCACTTCGTAAATCTAACGGCGAAATCATCACCGCTAACGAGAAAGAATACTCAAGTTACCACGCTATTTTTAAACTTGTCTCACGAAAATCAGGCGGTCCATTTGTTGAAAAGTACGGTCGCTCAGACATCAAATACATCTTTGACCAGTCACATGAAAAATGCCTTTACCGTCACGGTTTTAATTTAGAATCCTTGAAATATAGAATTCAACATGAAGTTTGAAAAAGGATCATATGTGTGTGATGTAGACTTACCAATGCGCTTACTGAATGAAAATAAGAAATGATTAATAAATTGAGATAAAAATATCAACACACATTTGGACCTTTTTAAATTAATTAAAAATGTTTATTTAGAAACAAGAGAAACAAGAAAAGCTAATAAATTAAATTTATTATTTTGTTTATAGTTAACTTTGATTTCTTCTTCTATTGATTTTATTATGTTTTTTTCTGGAAATTCAAGTTTGAGTTCTGCAAAACATAAACCTGTTGACAAATGATGATTTTCTGGATATTTTGAATCTACTCTCTCTGTTATTGTGACAGATTTATATTTACCAGGATCTGTAATGTCAAAGTAGCATCCTTTAACTTCAATTCGATTGGAATCTGCATAGAAATAATTATTTTTGATGTTATTTTTATAAAAGCTGCAATTAATGATATAGAGATTCTTATAACTGTAAATAAGTCTATAGCATTCATTTTCGAAGTAATTACAAAAAAGAATTTTAAATTCAAGTGATGATCCTAAATGCCATGCTTCAGAGCCACCTGTATTTTTATATGTGTTGTTTGAAAAGGTTGAAAATGTTACGTTTGAGTTAGAACTAAAAGAAATAGAGTAGAAATTATTGTAACTCAGTTTTGAATATGAAATATTGATTGACCTAATATTTGTTTCTCCATTAATCAAATACATATTACGGTTTGCTTCTTTGTTTTCGTATCCACTTGAAGTAATTGTTGAATCAAGGACATAATTCTTAAATGGAGATGTATCTGAAACTCTAACATAACAATATACACCTTCTTTTGGTGTTCTAGAGCCAAAACTGCAGATTCGGTCTTGAATACACTCACCTTTATTAGAACTTACGTATAAAGAGCCACCATTGGCGTTCTTGTGTTCACATTTGTCAAATGAGCTTGTTTCAATGAGGAATTTAAGATTGTTTCTTGTCGTGTCTGTGATACGAACTGCACCTGTCTCATCAAGGGAAATAAAGAGACAAAGAGAGATGTAATAACTCTTATATGCATTAATACTGATATTTTGGGTTTTATTTCTGTATAGTTCGTATTCGATTGTGGTGTTGAAGAAGTCTTCCCACTCCTCGTGAGAAATAGAAGGAAATATATTGGACTGAAGAATGTACTAAGTGCAAAATTCACCATTTCAATCATTCTTCGCTTTGATCTAGAAACTAAATGGCAAAATTTCGAAGGAAAGAAAAATTTCGCATTTTTTTATGAAAATTTTGTAAAGTGTCATTTTTTTTATCAATTTATCAAGCTCAAACAAGTAATATAAACATAACATCTAACAGTCAATTCCATTACACGATGCATATATGAAACAGAAGCAAAACACACGAACAAACAAAGAGAGCACTTGATCATAAAATATCATTTTTCGCATCTAGATAACAGCTATTAGTCTGGATATCAGTAGTAAAAGAGACACATTTCCTTGCATTTTCAAATGGATGATGCGCTGGTTGTTGTATTGTTATTTGTTGCCGGCGGCCCAAGAAGAAAAAAATAAATAAAAAAAAAGTTTATTATTCAATAAAATTAGAAACAGAAGAAGCAAGAAAAATCCAACTATTTTGCTTATTTTTAACATAGTTTTCATCTTCTATTGTAATTATTTTTCTTTCTGGAAATTCAAGTTAGAGTTCTGCAAAACATAAACCTGATGACAAATGATGATTTTGTGGATATTTTGAATCTACTTTCTCTTCTATTGTAACAGATTGATATATCCCAAGATCTGTAATGTCAAAAGAGCATCCTTTAACTTCAATTCGATTGGCCTGAGCATAGAAATAATGATCACTTATGCTATTTTTATAAAAACTGCAATTATTGATATAGAGATCAATGTCACTAAAAATAAACCTATAGCATTGATTTTCCAAGTAATTACAAAAAAGAATTTTAAATCCACCTGATGCTCCTTGATGACATGCTTCGGAACCACCATTATTTTTAGATGTGTTGTTTAAAAATGTTGAATATCTTACGTTTGAGCTAGAACTAGAATAAATTTGGTATAAATTTCTTAAAACTAGTCGTGAATATGAAACATTGATTGATCTCATATTTGTTTTTCCATTTATCAAATAAATATTCATATTTCCTTCTTTGTTTTCGTCCCCAATTGAAGTAATTGTTGAATCAAGGATATAATTCTTAAATGGAGATGTATCTGAAACTCTAACATAACAATATACACCTTCTTTTGGTGTTCTAGAGCCAAAACTGCAGATTCGGTCTTGAATACACTCACCTTTATTAGAACTTACGTACAAAGAGCCACCTTGGTTACTTTGATGTTTGCATTTGTCAAATGAGCTTGTCTCAATGAGGAATTTAAGATTGTTGCCTGTATTGTCTGTGATACGAACTGCTCTGGTAGTATTAAGGCAAATAAAGAGACAAAGAGAGATGTAATAGCTTTTGTTAACAATAACATCGATCTTTTGGGTTTTGTTTCTGTATGGATCGTAATTGATTGAAGGACCGAAGAAATCTTCCCACTCCTCATGAGAAATAGAGAGAAATATATAGGACTGATGAATTTATTAAGTGTAAAATTCGTTATTTCAATCATTCTGCGCCTTGATATATAAACAGAATAGCAGTATTTCGAAAGAACGAAAAATCTTATATGAAAATTTTGTAAAGAATCTTTTCCGAAATGTATTTTTTTTCTGAGAAAATCTTTTCTGTTGCATGAGGAGATGAAATAATAATATTTAAATAACCCCTTAAAATTTCTGAATGTTATTCAAAAGTAGAAATTTTTGATCAGAAAAAATTACGTTATCTTTACACCGCTAAAATCTTTAACTATAAGTAGATATTATTATTTCCTAATAACTATGAATTTTTCACTTTTTCCTGCTTGTCAAGTTTCGATCGGAATCATACAATAAATTCTATGAGTTTCTCTCAAATTGGCGTTAAATTTAGCGCCTGCACTTTTTTAGACATTAAAATTTACATTTATTCCTGAATTAACAAATGAATAGGATATATGTGATAAAGGTTCTTTATCAATGCAAAATTATGCATAGTCAGCATTTTCAGTCTAAAGAGACTGGATCACAATTTCAATTTTCCGCATATATCAGCTGATTAAGAGTAAAACAAGTGAGGGTACCTTGCGTGAACAAGGGCATCTTAAACTAAGAAATCTTGGTGCATTATTTCATCACTCGATACCTCTTTGGATCCTTTGACTTTGAAGAAAATAATGGTTACGATGATAATGACTAGAATAGCACCTCCAATTGATGCACTAATAATGATCCACGTCTTTGTTGAAAGCCCATTCTTACCTGAGCCAGACTTAGAATCATCTTTATTAACTGTAAAACTTGATGATTCATTTTGTTCTGTTTTTGGTACATTTGTGTTATCTGATGGTGACTCCATATCTGAAAATTGTTCTGTTTCTGTCTTTGTCTTTTCTGGTTCTGCTGGCGTTGGAGATGGTGTCTTTGGTGTTGGTGTTGGAGTTTGATGAGTTGGAGTTGGTGTCTTTGGTGTTGCAGATGGAGATGGTGTTTTAGGTGTTGCAGATTGAGTTGGTGTCTTTGGTGTTGCAGATGGAGATGGTGTTTTAGGTGTTGCAGATTGAGTTGGTGTCTTTGGTGTTGCAGATTGAGTTGGTGTTTTAGGTGTTGCAGATGGAGTTGGGATTTTATATGGATCTTGGAGTTGAACTGTATCGGGATCGAAAGGATCAGCAACAAAATTCATTTCTTGGAGTTTGACTGTTCTGCAGAATATTTCAGGATGAACACAGTATGCTGTTCTTTCATAGGGACCATTAGATGATGAAATGTTATAAGTAAATGATGCACCAACATTATTCTTGTCACATGTTATTGTTGTTGTTTTCCCATATGTGAAAACTTGTAATGTGTAACTGTCGTACTTATTGCAAGTATATGGCGCACATGTATCGTATACGTTGCTAGATTGAGGAGCTCCTGGCAAAATTGCTAGGCCTCTATCACAGATTTTAGTAGGAAATGTTACATTTATATAGTCATAAAAATACATATAGAGTGAAATAAGTGCCTTTGATGGATTATAAAACTCATAACGTGCAGGTCCACAGTATAATTCCTTAGTAATATCAGTGCTCGGACATGATATAAAATTATCATTCGTAAGATAATTCGCAAGCCCAAAATTTCAAATTTTAATTTTTTGAAAAAAGAGGCCACCCGTATGTACGTTTATTTGAGAGGAGGAGGATTATATTTTTGAAAGGGTGAAACATTATGAATATGTTAATTATATAATAATATGTATTATTATAAAAAAGAAAAAATAATGCACATTAAAATTTTTCTTTCTTGATTTTTTACAAAATCTACTTAGAATTATGCAAAATATGACTAAATAATTATAAATTTCAAGTTAAATTTTAATTTTGATAAATAATTTAAATTTCAAAATATCAAGTTCAGTTCGACTATGTATGTAGTAATTCCTCAATAAAGTGCCAAAACCCTATTAAAATATATGAACATTTTCAACATTTTAATGTTTTTATTTAAAAATTTGTTGGAATATGAGCTTCAAACAATTATTATGTAAATAAAAATAATTAAATATATGTATTTATTCGTATTACAACCGTAGTAAGTCGATTCTTCCTTTCTTCTACTGAGGTTTGAATTTGATTTCGAATTGTAAAGAGATTCAAAGGGAAAATACTAGCGGATAAAAACTACCTCCATGAAAGGGTCATAATGGAGTCAAGTTGTATTTTTTGATATTTTTTGCTTTTCGAGCCTAAATAGGTAGCCAAGATAATGCCTAAAAATAAGGTTCTAAATTCTGAAGTTTACATGATCCTCTCGTGTGCACCCTTAACTCTGAATTACTTAGAAAATCATCTTTTGTGCATGAAAATTGTCCATATTCCCATAAAACTGTTTGTCCCACAGATTTACACATTAGATTATCATTAAGTTCACCAGTGAGGAAGCCAGTTTCCAATTTAATACGGATATTTTGCCAAGATGATTCGGAAATCTTTCTTTTTTGGTGTTTTATTGAAGATAGATTTATTTTTGGTACAAGCCAGTCTTCGTTTTCATTATGTGTGCATTTAAATTCCTGGGTTTTAGCTAAAACAAACAACAGGAACATCCCAAAAATTTTGAAAACAAATGTTTATACAAAATTTTGAAAGGGACACTTCAATACCCTACCGGAATTATAAATTAGATATAAAATAGATTCTATTATAATGCACAACCAATGGGTACGAAATACATCTGGAAAAAGAATTTATACATGTAACGTCTCTGGAAATCAGTTGGTCCAAATTTTCTATCGGGATTCGAAAGTATGTAAAAATAACATAGGGGTTACCCAAGCACGCATCTATCAATCACAAAATAAACATAACCTACCTGAAAAAAAAAAGATCATCATATGAATTGAATGACATTGCTTTGCAATCCGTATGGCCTGTTAAATAAAAAACTCCCTTTTGGACTCGCACTAAAATCATAATAATTTTTATCAAATTGTAACGATTAAAATGAGCGTAATGTAAACTCATGATTGGCATATAATTGATGTTTTTATGCCTATATATTAAAATTCATCAACTAAAAATTGGAAACTGAAAAGTCCCCTCATTTTTGCCTGACATTCTATTGTATTTTTAATTCATCATATGATAGTGTTATGTAATCTTTAATCAGATGATAGTTTCCCACCTGAAGTTTGACATGGTAAATTCGAAATTACATTATTACAAATGGGAATGTGAGATTTGATAGAATTGACGGTTCCTATTGGGAAATGAATATATCATATATTACAAATTCATGAAAAATAAACATGAAACATGCTTTTTATTTTCTAAATAATTTGAAATTATACAAAACAAATAATATAATAAATAATATAATAACACATAAACTGGATTCAAAACTACTGTATTCTTCTGATTCGAATGAAGATCTCTCATTAAAGAAACATGATGCATTAACAAAAGAAATGTTTTTCATTGTTTTTTCGTAACAAACATTGATGTTTCCATTGATATTTTTATGAACAATTTGAAGTGTAATAGGTTGATGTTTATCCAACCCAATGAAAAAGAACAGTGGAATTGATGATTTGAAATAAAAATCATCAATAACTTTTCCATTGCATTTAAGAAAAACTGAAAGTTCTGTTAAATCGTAATCTGTTGAAGAGATTTCACCAAACAAATCATATTTGTCGTTTCGTTTGATAACAGTGAAGTTGATGTTATCATGATTTTCTCGTTGTAATAGAACTATCTGTGATTTTGGTGTAACAACTTCTGATTCACTATTTTCAAAAGTGATTTCATAGTTTTGTTGTGATTTCAAGTTAGAAAAAGTGAATTTTCCTGTGTTGTCTGTTTGACTTTCATATGTTCTATTCACAAAAACTTTTCTACCAATGACAGGTTTTCTATTTGATTCAAAGACAAAACCTGCGATAGAAAAGCGATTCTTACATGCTTCAAATGCGAATGTCACATCATTTTCGAAAAGTGAAAAAGATTTGATGTTTGGATTGAAATCAAACTCTTTCATTATAGGTTTGACGAAATAGTCTCCTTCTGTCAGGTTTGAAAAGATAACTGTATTGTTACTGATCTTCTTGTTTTGATGGAAACCTTTTGAATTAGAGATAGAAACAATTCCATCATTGACAATAGAAGGAAATGACAATTTAATGTTGAATAATCGATATCCATCAAAATCAAATGTATTTTTACGTGGAACAAACTTAAATCGTCGTTTCTCCGCTTTCAAGATGATTTTAGACAATGTTGGAAGTCTCGAAAAATGATATCGACCATTTTTGTCTGTAAGATTCCATGAAAGAACTTTATCATCTGAAATGACACTGACATTTACATTCTTGATTGCTGGAATGATTTTACCATCAATTTCGTTGTTTCTATAAACGTCGAAAGAAATGATTTCGTCACAATGAGATGGGAAAGGAACATAAAGTTTAGGATGATCAACAACAAATGGTTTTTGAACAATGCATTCCACTTTTACTGATTGATCTGATCTTTGTATAAATTTATATGGATATTTAAGCTGTTTGTTGTTAACTTTGATGATTGTTTGATGGATCATTAAATCACCTTTAACTTCAACTTTACGGACAGCTTCAGTAACCTTTAGATTGTATTTATAATATTCACTTATATTATTTATAAATATTTTATTAGGAAACTTTGGTTTTTCGAAATTGAAACAATCAGCAGAAAGAATTTCCTTGTAAATAACTTTAACTAAATTATTGCCTTGTTTAAGTTGTTGTACAACATCTGGACTAGCAAGAATAGAGACTTCATGATCTGAATTAATGTTAAACACATAATGAGCAAAATGAGCAACAACGCCAACATCGATTTCATCACTTGTAACATTAACAAAAAATATTGATTGGTTATAAACAACTGAATTTGGATGAATTAAATGAATTTCGTATTCACCAAATTCTACATCTTCAAATGAGAAACGACCTTTTTCATTGCATTGACATTTATAAATTTTCTTTCCTATAAGTGAAATAGACATGTTAGAAATTCGTAATGAAACTAAAACAGATCCAAAAACTTTTGATGAAATTTGACTGAAATATAATTCACATGGTGCTTTGAAGATCGCTGTATCATTCTTCATGTTGCATTTAGTTGATAAACTAATCATTGATAATTCTTTTAATGGTGCTGAAAATGAAATACTTCCATTGTGTGTTTCAATGTTCAAATGTTGTTTGGAACTAAAAGAAACGTTGTATTCAAGACATGATGATTTAACATGTACTGGACCATGTGTAGCTCTGAAGATGATGTCTCGACGTGGAAAATAAGTAATAGATGTCAATGTTTGAATCTCAAATTCCCAAAGATAGTATTCGGCTGCAAATGTCGCATTGTTTATAGGCATAACATTGTAAAAAGTGAATTTACCATTTGAATCAGAAAAAACTGAAATGTTTCGTTCAACAAATGTGATTAAAGCACCATTACATGGTTTTCCTGGCTTGAATGAGATAGTTCCACGAACAGTTGTCCCGATGTAATGCAATTTGATCAGTTCTGTTAAAGCAATTTCACCAACAGTGATGTTGACTTTTGTAATGTTGAATTGATCACTTTTACATGATATTTCGTAATTTCCCTTTCGTAATTTTCGAAGAATGAAGTTACCTGACTCGTCTGTAATGATTTCTCTTGAATAATTTTTGGATTCAACTGACAACTTCAGAGGAAAAATAGAAATATTAGGAGGAACTATGACAATGCCATGTGGATCCCACGTATCAATAATCAATTTGATGTCGTTTAATGGTTTTTCGGTTAGATTAATTTTTGTTTCGTTAAACTTGACGTTTAATATGTTAAATCTGTATAAATCGGGTATGACATTATCAATAGAAAACGAGCCTGCTATTATATCAACAATAAATCGAGTTTGAGTACTATATCGATAAATTTCGAGTTTCAAAGGTACCGAAATGGGCATATTAACATTATCAGATGAGACAAGCACAGATCCTTTAATTCCGAGGCCTGTAACTAAAAAATTGATTGATGAATTTTCCAAACTTGAAATGATTTTTGATTTTTCTGCGAAATATATTCCATCTGAGGATAAAATGGAAATATTTACTCTATTTGGAAGTATAGCATCTGAAATCCAATAACCTGAAGGCTGCACTTCAACTTGGTCAATCAAAGAATTGTCAACTGTTAAAATTAGAATGGATAAATTAGAGAAAAATGACTTACGATCTCCTGTAAACGTAAAATTGAAGTTAACGAAACCATCAATGTACGATGCCTCTGATGATATACACGAAAAAACAAAAAACAAAATCATTTTGGGATGTAAACATTACAAAAATAGTCAAAATATAATTTAAAAATATTTCGAATTAGTTATCTAGACAATATTTCTAATTTTTTTTATAATTTCGTAAAAAACAATTTAAGACAAAAAAAGTGGTACTTGAGTATATTGTCTGCGTTTTATCTGATCATTGAGCAACAAAATATACTCAACTGTATAATGAAGGTCCGAGCTAGGGACCAAGTTTCAAATTGATGGTTGCGTATAAATAGTAAATAATTGTAGCATAGCATATTTCCTAAACCTTTGCTATTTAAATTTTACGGGTGTGCAGATTTTATTGGACATTAACAATTTTGTAAGGTCAAAGACTTTTTTTTAATCATAGACTTTCCTCAGACTATAGATTGATTCCAGGAATCGATAGTCTGAAGAATGTCTATTTTCGAAATAAGTTGAACGATGATTATCTCCAAATTGTGTGTGTTTATACGGCTATTAACATTAAATTAATAATGCTAATGTTTATTCTTAAATAATGAAGGCATTATTATATCGTGTTTCAATATAAAATCGCACAACACTAAAAAGAATTATTTGATATTCCTAGCACCATTTTTAGCTAAGAATTTGACAATTTCTGTTGAATTCATTTCGAGTGCAATGCTAAGAGGGCATTCATTAATATTGAAAGAGTTTGATAAAGCAGTGATAAATATGAAAAGCAAGAGAATGCTATCAAAGAATGATAAATATGAAAGGTAAGAGAATATCATAAAACAATGATAAACATGAAAAGAAAGGGAATGTAATAATTCATTGAAAAATATGAAAAGAAAGAAAATGTCTTAAAACAAAGATAAATCTGAAAAGAAAGAAAATGTATAAAGCATTGATAAATATCAAAAGAAATGAAATTATATAAAACAAAGTTGAATATGAAAAGAAAGAGAATTCTAAAAAACAATGATGAATATTAAAAGAAAGTGAATGTAACAAAACAATGATAAATATGAAAAGAAATAGAATAAATTTCTCGTTAACATCAGCACCATGTTCAACTAGGATTTTGACAATTTCAATTGAATTTGTTTTGATTGCAATACTAAGAGGATACTCATTAATATTGAAAGAATTTCATAAAATAATGATAATTATGAAAAGAAAAAGAATGTAATAAAACAATGATAAATATGAAAAGCAAGAGAATGCAATCAAAGAATGATAAATATGAAATAAAAGAGAATGTAATAATTCATTAATAAATATAAAAGTAAAAAGAATTACATAAAAGGAAGATAAATTTAATAAGAAAGAGAATTCTATAAAACAATAATAAATATGATAACAAAGAGAATTCTATAAAGTAATGATATACATGATAACAAAGAGAATACTATCAAACATTGATAAATATTAAAAGAAAGAAAATTATATAAAACAATGATAAATATAATAACCAAGAGAATTCTATAAAGCAATGATAAATATGAGGAGAAAGTGAATAAGTTTCATGTTAACACAAGCGCCATATTCAATTAAGAATTTGACAATTTCTGATGAATTCGTTTTGATTGCAATACTAAGAGGGTATTCATTAATATTGAAAGAATTTCATAAAACAATGATAAATATGAAGAGAAAGATAATGTCATAAAACATTGATAAATATGAAGAGAAAGAGAATGTCATATAACATTGATAGATATCAGGTGAAAGAGATTATAAATTTCGTTGATATCACATCCATTAAAAATTAAATACGAAACAACTTCATAACTTCCGAAATACATACTTTCTGCAATTGAATTAGGAGTTTGTCCAAAATTTGATTTAAGGTACTCAGCAATTTCATAGTTTCGATAATCCAATGCTGTATTAATCATGTTATCAAATGATTTACCTTCATCTATCATTTGCATAAAAATGTTTTGATTTCCGCCTTGAACGGCATATTTTCCAGAATCTTTAGTGTATGCAGCCCCTAAATTTTTCAAGTAATTGAAACACAATTCTGAGCCATATTTAATTGCACAATCAAGTGGTGTGATTGTATAATCTATTTTCTGATTGATGTTAAGATTTGGGAATTTGCTCTTAAGATCATCAACTCTATCCCACGCAATATAGTATAAAGGAGATTCTGTAGAATATATATTCAGAATTTCTTCTTCTATTTCAAGTTGGAAGTTTTCGAATGTGAAGCCTTTATAATGTAGAAGGGTCGCTAATTTCTCATTTTTTGGTTTGATGATGCATGAGAATTCGTTTAATATTTTTTCGTAAAGTTCTGTAAATAATTTAATATCTTTCACACGAATTTGTGAAATAATATCAATCAGGTAAAGTGACATTTGGATAAATATTTTAGAATTTATGATGAATTCTATAATTTGTGAATATATTTTTAAAATATTATTGGCATTAACACTCCAAATGATTTTCGATGCTTGATTAGGGTATTCAAATACTTCAATTGGCTTAATGCCATAAAAATCATATCCTGTTTCATTTTTTGATTGCTCAGAACTTGACATGCTTTGTAAAAATTTTTGGGTTTGGTATTTTTGATTATAAAATATTAAAAAGCTGTGATTTTATGATTTTTGGAATTAGTATCTGATCTAGATATTAGATCCATTCAAATATAGTCTAAACAAAATTGTAAAGTGAATCTGATGAGAACGTTATATTTTTAATAAAATCACTTTTCCCATATGGATGTTGGAAAATCCATTGATATTGATCTAGTTTTTTAAACTCCTTATATGCAGGAAACATTAAATTGCCATGAAATACAGATAATTGCTCTCTAAAATTGAATCAAGTCCTATTAAAATCTCTTAGATGTTTGATTTTATATATTAATTAATATAAATTAAACATCTAAGGGATTAATTAATGAAGTAAGAATAGCTGTATCAGCCTCGATTTTTTCAGCTCTTCTGCCTTTATTGAGAGTGAAATCATTTCTTTTGGAAAATATTTGTTAAAGAATAAAAGATATATTGGTTTCATAGCATTGCAAAATGCATTGAATTATCATCGCCATGATTTATATAGCGCTGTATCATAATCGTTTTTGTGAGTTTTTAGCATTGAATGGAAATTATGGAAAAATGAATTTTTATTAAACAACAGTTAAATATCCGAGTCACTACTAATTTCATCAATATTCTGATCTTTGAATGAATTGATTAATTCTTTATGCTCAGATGAAAGACGATCAAGCATGATTTTCACATTCTTAAAAACAACATCATTTAACTCTAATACACTAGAGCTAAGAGTTAGCTTTCTCTGCAAACTAAGCTTCAATTCCGAAATCTGATTCTCAAGATCTATGTTTTTACGTTCTAAGCTTCTGTTCAATCTTTGCAAGCTATATATGTCAGAATCAGATAATTTAGATTGATTAATTGGTGTATTATTTTGTGAATCAATCATTCTTTGCAATTCCGAAACCTGTTTTCTCAGGGCGATTATTGCCTTCTTATCATTAGATGGCGAGCTTGTAACTTGGGAAAGTTCTTCTTTGAGTTTAATATTTTCTTTTTGTAATTCAAGAATTTGATCCTTTAATTCAATATCTAATTGGTGTCTTTCATCAGAATCTTTGGTATCATTTGTCATATTGAGTAATTTACCACGTAGATCTTCAATTTGAGTTTCTGCATCATTCAAATCTTTTTCATTCATTCGAATGACATCATTTAGTTTTTCAATTTGTGCATACGCTTCGTTTAATTCTTCCTGTTTTGATTCAAGTTCATTTGAAATAGTTTCCTCATCATCTTTCAATTTGAGTTTGTCATTTAACTTAGAAATTAAGTCATTCAATTGTTTAATTTGGTCATTGAGGCTCTTATTTGTCTTTTGACTATCTTGCAATTCTGATTTGATCCTTAGAAGCTCTTCATTACATTGCTCAATATGTTGATCTCTGTCCTTTATTTTATTATTAAAGTCTTGTGATAAACTGTCAAATGATTGCGTTTCGAATGTAGACTTTTGTTTATATTTCATGAATTCATCGTTTAATTTCTTCAAGTTATCTTCTCTCTGAAGAATCTCATTTCGAAGTTTGATCAGCTCATCATTTAGTTTAAGAATTGTCTGTTCCTTTTCTGCAATTAATTTCTTGAACATTCCAATTTCGTTTGAACTTTGCTTTGCTGTTTGCTCGCTTTGTTGAATTTGAATTCTGAGTCTTTCAAGCTCTTGTTGACTCTTTTGCGCTTTTTCTATTTGAACTCTCACACCAACAGCTGCATTAGATGGAACAGATCCGTTTCTTCCAGTTCCATTTATTGGTTTATTGTTTACATTATTAAATGAAGGAGCAATGAATTTTTCCATTTCCTGTGTTTGTTCTTTGATATCGGAATCTTTGTTCATCGGTTTCAAATTATTTAATTCTTCAAGTAATCTTTGATTTTCAGCATTAAGATCCAAGTTTTCGGCTGTGAGTTTTCTGTTAATTTTTGCCAGATTATCGTTTTCTTCCTTCAACTTAATAATTTCATCACGATCTTTATCTCTTTGGCTGTAAATAGCAATAATCTTCTTCTTAAGTTCAGCAATTTCTGCCTTTTGAGAAGAGTTATCAACTTTATCATGGTTTGGTGGTGTTGATGGACCATTAAATATAAAACTCTCCCGAAGCTGAGAATTTTCTTCTCTTAAACCTTTGATTTCGATTTCTTTCGAATTCATCAATTCTTTTAATTGAATATTGCTGTCTTCTTCCATTTTGAGTTTGTTTTGTAGCTCTTTAACGTCATTTTCAAGCTTTAATATCCTCTGTTGTGTTAATGGATCAGGAGTAGGAGAAGAAGGAGAGTTCCTATCAACAATATAATCATCATAATCTGAAACTTCGACAAATTCTATTCCATACTTAACGCTATAGGATCTTAAAAGTGCATAAAGCTCCCTGAGCTTCTTTTCAAGCATTGAAATTTGCTGTTGGTATTCAAAGCATGCTCGCTTGAAATCTTGCTCATCAATCTCGGCTTGTGTGACTCTCTTTTGAAGTCGCATGATAATTTCTGTCTTATCATCATAGTCTTTTGTTCTATCATATAATGTATTATAACGGTTTGTAATTTCATTATATAAAGTGATTAAGTGATCGTATTTTGCAGCTTTTTCTCGCAAGACATCGTTGTCTATCTCCTTTATTGGTGGAGATAATCTTGTATTAGCATAGTTCTTTACGCGAAGTTCTGCTTTGAGTTTTCCATTTTCTTTTGTTAGTTGCTCTACCATAGATCTAAGATCGTTTTTATCTGTTGGAAATTGAGGAAGTGCCAATTTCTTTGTTAAATCGTCAATTCTTGCATCTTTAAGCTTGATTTCATTTTCTAATGAGTCAATTTGAGAAATTTGGGCTTTCATATCTTGAATTTCTATACTTTGTTGATCATTGATATCACGCAGATTAGAGATTTCCTTCTGTAAGGCGTGAATTTGGGCTTCAGAATCAGAAATACATGGTTTTTGAATTACTACGGCATTGTTCTTGTCCAATTTATTTTTAAGATCAGTAGTCATAGATTCTAAAGATCTAATTCTATCATTTAGGCGCGCTTTTTCATTATTATCTGTTGTTTTGATATTTTCTAGGTTTTCTTTTAATTCGAGATTCTCTTTATGAACCTTTGTGTTTTCTTCAAGAAGTTCCTTTATTTTTTGCTTTAATTCCGAATTTTCTCTCAAAATCCCATCCATCTGATCGATTTGTAGTGATGGTATATCAGTTTCTTGCTTTTTTAAGGCTCTTTTCAAGTCATTAATTTCTGCCATGTCATGTTTCTTATCATTCTCGAGTGATTTAATTCTATCATTAAGTTGATCGCATTCTTTTGTAGCTTTCTCTAAAAGAATGACTAACTCTTCAACTTTTTGATATCCTCCGGTTGATGATATCGAAATTTGAGAATTATTCGGAATGGGACTTGTATTTTCTCGAATTTTTGGAGAAATTGCATTTATTTGCATCTTGATTTCTCCATTTTCACGTTCCAATTCTTCATTTCGCATTTTAAGCTTGAGAAGTTCGTCTTGAAAATTTTTCATTTTATTGGAAGTATTTTCTTCAGAATTTTCATCCTGTATACTTTGTTGACGAGATATAAATTGTAATCGTTGCTTTAATTCCGAATTTTCTGATTCTTGCGCTTTAAATTTCATTTGTAACTCCATAAATTCGCCTTCAATGCGTCCAAGTCTATCTTTATAATCTTGTATTGTCAATGGAGATCCTTTGCGAGAACTACCGTATCCTCGAGGGGTTTCCATTTTTTGAGCAAATTTTTAAACGTCCACTTTTTTATATATTGGTGCGCATTTCTCCTTCACATTTATTAGTCCATTTCAGATAAAGGATCAGGCATTTTATCTAATCTTCTTTTATTCTTTTAGGCGACTCCGGCATCCATTGGTTTCTTCTTTGAAAAAAATTTATCCTTTATGGCTATCCATAACATTTGGTATGCAAAATACTTTAAAGGCAACTTTCAAATGTGTTATACATAGCTTGAATGAAATTTTTATTATGATATTTTCGAAATAACTTTGACCTTCGAGAAAACAAATTTTGGACTTCTTTGAATATTTTGTTATGTTGAATGATGATTGTGTTAAAATTGAGTGTATTCATATGGGATCAAAATAACGTTATTGAGAGTTTATTCTTAAATAATTTAATCGCGCAACTATAAAAAGAATTATTTAATATTCATAGTACCATGTTTAGTTAAGAAGACTTTCATTAATGTTGAAAGAATTTTATGAAGCAATAATAAACATGAAAAGAAAGAGGGTTTGATAATTCAGTGATAAATCCTATCAGTTATTGCTTTCGAAAAAATTTTTCTTATGATGCATGCCCCCATTAGATATAGTTAGTTTGGACTTGGGCTGTCGCGTACTCTAATCAATTACAGTCTAATCTTTTTAGAAAAATGCTTAATTTTACCACAAAATAAAAGAGAAAAAATTTCTTGTTTATTATAAAAAAATTATTCAGAAGTAAAGAAACCCCAAACTTCAACAATATCAGCCGCGAACTTGTTTTGACCAGCGAGGAATTCTTTAGCCTTTTGTGATCCATAGAGGAATCCAAGTCCGAATGAGTTTTCTAAAGCAGAAGAGCATCTTTCGAACTGTTGTCCAGCGAGAACTAAATCAGCTCCACCGAAAGAAAGTGTATCTGGTGTTGCTACTGTGTATAATGGTTCTTCACTTCTTCCTCCATAAGGAATGAAAGCGTCCTTAGTGACTTGGAACAAGAAAGTTGAGCTCTTGTCCTTGCGAGGAACACCATCACTTGTCCATTTAGTTGCCGCAAAACCTCCGAAAACTTGGTCGCCAGATTTAACGATAACGGCTGTAATACCCATTTCGTCGATCATCTTGTGCATCATGTGGATGTTCTTTGAGTGCAATTCCGTGGAGTACAAAATGTGTGGCTCTGGAGTTCCCTTGAAAGGAAGGCAGAGATAAAGTCTCTCCGCAACCATTTGATCTGTAATGATTCTTGATCCGTCAAATGGTCTAAATGGTAATGTAATACCGGCATTCTCGTATTTGGCACGTTTTCTTGCGGCCATTTTAGAAAGCCTTGTCCAATGTGGATCTTTTGGCTCAAGAACTGTGGATGTCGTTCCTTCTGTGACATAGGAATATGACTGTGAGTCTTGTGGTAAAGCTCTCTCCTTTGGAGCCTCTTTTTGTGCCTTTGGAGGTGAAACTTCGATACGCCCATAAACGATAAGATTTCCTTTCTGGGAAAGTGGCTGTGGGAGGTCGACGTTGTGCTCTGTCTCACGCTTGAGACATGAATCTCTGAATACTGTCTCAAGGAATGGAACTGGCTCTGCATTTACTCTGTAATTTTCAACAAGTGCCTTTTGATCTTCGTATTCTTGCTTCTTACGAAGGAGTTCGCACTTTGTGGAGTTAACCTGGTTGGCTACACGTGAAGACTGCATCCTCGATTCTTCGATTGCCTTCATTGCAATTCTCATTATTTCATCTTCAACGGCTTGTTGGTTAGCTGTGATCTCCTGGAGACGGCGTTCGCAATCGTCAAGGCCATTGTTAATGCCGCGCTCGCGTTCGGCATCGTATGGGCTTGGTTTCTTGAGAATTGTCATTGCATCTTCGTATGCTTGGCTGATTGGGAGTAATTTGTGTTTGGCTGGATCACCATGGGCGTGGCTTCCATTAACCTTGCATTCTAAGCAGATTGGAAGATGGCATTTCGGACAATAATATTCTACATTATGATCAGGATGCTCTGGGCATTTCTGGACTGTAATAATGGCTTCTTCGAGTGGTAATACTTTATGCTGCTTCATGAAGTCTGATGATTCGTGTAATTTGTGATCGCAATCGTCGCATAATTTCTTGTGGCAGTTTAGGCAGTAAACTGTTGCATTTGGTGAGCCGCATTGTTGGCAAACATGACCATCTGGATCAGCATCTGAGACTCCTTGCTCAAATGTGAAGCGTAAGAGGTGGCAGCCTTTAATTTGATTAGGGATGAAAACAACGAATTTATTCTCGCCAATACGGAGTGTATTGTATCCTAATTCGAGATTAGCAACTGTTGGTGTGCCTGTTTGATACTTTACTTTGCCGATTGGTGCTTTTGGATCTTGATAATTGATAATTGAAGCAAGAGCGACTTTTAAGTGGAAAACTTCGAATTCTTTTTCATTTGTATCAATTTCTAAATCATTTGTTGTGAATGTAAAACCTTCCTTTGGATGAACTTTGAAACCATGGCTAATAACGTCTGCTTTAGACTGTTTGATTTGATTTGTTGGAATAAAAACATCAACAACATTTGATGGGACGTGTGCTCTGCAGAAATTGTCGAATTGAACGTTAATTGGTTTCAATGAAATGTCAAACATTTCTTTGACCTTAAGAACTGGTGCCTTAGTCTGTAATCTTAACTGTTGCTCGACGTATCCGAATTCTTCGCCAAATGGTGATACCTTTGGTACAGAAAGAGACATCGAAAATTCTAAAGACGTTAGTTTACACGGAAAACTAAATCAATAGGAATTCAAAGTGTTTTTACATATCATATATTATTACACCAATATTGTGCTGCTGTCATTTGGCGAACATTACTTCCAAATTCAACATATAATAACGCAAGCGTTAATTCAACAGATCTATTCTGAACTAAACCTGGAAGTTTAGATCATTAGAATATGAAAGTTTGATGGAAATATATTATAAATTATTATACGTGTTCAATTGATTCCTAAGCAATAAATCATTCATCAACAGTCTTAGAAAGTTCTTTCTCTTCATTGAATATTGAATGTTTGCCCATGCTTAATTATTATGCAAAGTAAATTTTACAGATATGAACTTATTTTTTTCAATTTCGTTATTATGCAATGAATTAATATTAATCTAACATCAAATTTGATTTAACATGGCTAGCCTGATGTAGTGATGACTTTTAATGACTTGTTTTGTTTTGTTTGGTCAAATCCACAACAGATTGAACGTTAGCCTTACAGAACTCAAATTTAAGACTGCTTTCGGATCATACATGTTTTTTAACTATCTATGAATAGGATTTAAGATTGTTGTTTTTGTCACTTTTGCGATCATTAAAATTTAGAATGTCTCAATCAAAGGTTCATCCACCAGCCAAATCAAATAAGTGGGGCGATTTAATAGTTCGCACAGTTTCATCATGCTTATTGATGGCATGCCAAATCGTTATATTCTGTGCAGGCAAATACCCATTAATTGCTGAATTAATGCTTGTTCAGTTCCTTGCATTTTGCGAACTCCTTAACCTTTCAGTTGAAAAGGATAAGGAGAACCTCATTGGCCGCCGTATCACAATCTTCCCATACGTTCTCGTATTTTCTTTAACATATGCTCTCTTCGGTAAGACAATGCTCCACTATTTCCTTAGTGATGCTATTATTTCTCGTTACCACTTCATCACATCCTTCGGATTTGTTATGTTAGCTCTTATTTTCTTTGTTACAGGACTGACACCACAGAACGATCAGTACGCCTATAAGAGATTCACATACTCATTCTGCGGAGCCATGATTGTTTGCGTTCCATGCAATCTTTACGCCAGATTCGCAGAGAAGTCTCTTTTCTGGTTTGCTGTTCCATTGTTATGCGTCATGATGAATGATACATCAGCTTACTTCTGTGGCCGCTTCTTCGGTCGCCACCAATTAATCAAATTAAGCCCTAACAAGACAGTTGAAGGCTTTGTTGGCGCTCTAATCCTTACACCAATCACATTCATCGGCATCACATGGATTGCATCTCAATTCCCATTCCTTTACTGTGCTCGTTCTAAAATGTTCGATTTCCAAGTTACATGCGATCTTCCAAGAGAATTCACACCAACAACATTCAACGTCTTTGGAAACGAGTTCACACTTCTTCCAGCTTACATCCATGCCGTTGTAATTGCCCTCTTCGCAAGTTTGATCTCTCCATTCGGTGGATTCTTCGCTTCTGGCTTCAAGCGCTCACTTGGCATCAAGGACTTCTCACATCTCATCCCAGGACACGGCGGTCTTCTTGATCGTATCGATTGCCAACTTGTTAACTGCACCTTCGCTTATCTTTACTACATTACATTTGTACAATGAAAATTGTTAATTTTTATTAATAAAAATCCCAACAATTACTTCCATATGTTTTTAATAACTACTAAAACTTTCTACTATTCAATATTTCACCTTGTTGACACATGCTTGATCAACTCGTTTAATTCTTATAGTTTCAATTATATCAAATCAAAATAATTTCAATAATATCTCAAAATTATGCTTTCATTTATGGTACTCCGCCGCGAAAAACATTCGAAGTGACGGACCAATCATCGGATCTATTGCTCAGATTGCAGTTCGATAAAATTCTACAGTTGATAAACCATCCATTGAATTTCAGAAAAAATCTAAAATAAAAGTTTGCAATGGGAAAAGTAAAACAAAATGTTGGGAAGTCTGGGAAAAATTATAGAAATAATTGAATGTGAAATGATCGTTAGGGAAAAAATTCTATCAAGTTTGAATGTGCTTTGAATATACTTCATTTTCGAAATGGAATCCTTCGGAGAAAGAACAGTTGGTTCAATCGTAGCAGAAAGCTTCAAATCAGCATCAACATTCGCTAAGTTCGGTATTGATTTCTGTTGCCATGGTTACAACAAATTAAACGTTGCCTGCAAAGAAGCTGGTGTTTCACTTGAAGATGTATACAACGAATTAAACAAGCCTGCAGTTTCTGGATCTGCCCATGCTGAATTTTCAACATGGCCACTCGATCTTCTTGTAGATTACGTCTTAAAGATTCATCACAGAGGCATCAGAAAGAATGCACCAAATACACAGAGACTTCTTTCAAAAGTCGATGGTGTTCATGGAGAACATCATCCTGAGCTTCATGAAGTTAAGAAACTCTTCAATCAGTCTATTGACGAATTAACAAAGCATCTTGCAAAGGAAGAAGAAATGCTCTTCCCATACATCGTCGAACTCTTTAATGCTTCTGAAACAGGAACACAAATTGCACCAAATAAGTATGGTTCAGTTCAAAGCATCATTGATAGCCTCAAGACTGAGCATGAAGCTGAAGGCTCACGCTACTTCCATCTTGCCAAAATTACAAATAACTATACATGCCCACCAGATGGCTGCAACAGCTTCCGCTTAGTTTATCAGCAAATCCACGACTTTGTTGATGCACTCTTTGAGCACATTCATATTGAAAACAATATCATATTCCCTCTTGCAATCGAACTTGAGAAGAAGTATGTTAAAAAGGAAGAATAAATTTAAATTTGTCAATTTTCTAATAAAAAATAAATGAAATACTAATTTATTTGCCTTCTTTAGCGCATGTTGACCAGAGGTCAATCTTGACACATCTTCACTACAATACATCAAAGAAGACAGGAGAATATAAGAGAGAATATCTTCTCCAGATATGTTTTTTCAAAAATTTACTTCCAAGAATGTTAAATTAATGTGATATTCTCATTGAAAATCAGATAAAAGCAAAGCAATAAGATCTTGAATCAGAGACCATCCCCATTCCTTCTTGGCAATCTCAAATGGAACTAAAAATTTAATTCTGAGTAGTTTTATAATGCTTTCTGAATGAATTCAAAAAATCCATTTGAAATATATTAATTTCAACATTCCTAAGTAGTAAAAATGTCCCACATTATGCCATTTTAATTATTTAACCCATTATAAAACGTCGCAAATGATTTTTAAATCATCAGTAATCTAATTAAAAGAGATAAGAGCATTTTCTTTAAATAAATAAAAGTATCTAAATGTGTTTGTTTGAGAAATTTGTTTTTTGATGATTATGAAAATCAACATTCTAAAGATTTTTTTTGCTAAACGTCTTTTCTCTCTAGAGAAATGTCAAAGCCTGCTGATAATCTTCCATGGGTTGAAAAATACCGTCCAAAAAATCTTGACGATATTGTTCAGCAAGAAGAGGCTGTTAAAGCTTTAAAAACTACACTTGAAACAGGAGATTTACCTCATTTAATTTTTCATGGCCCACCAGGAACAGGAAAAACATCTCTTGCATTAGCATTATGCCGCTCTCTCTTTGGTGAAGACTTTAGACTACGCGTAAAGGAATTAAATGCTTCAGATGAGCGTGGTATTGATGCTGTTCGCAGTTCAGTTAAAGAATTTGCATCGTTAGCAGTTCCAAATGGAAAAATCCCATTCAAAATTGTAATTTTAGATGAAGCAGACTCAATGACTTCGGCTGCTCAAAATGCTTTAAGACGTATTATTGAAACATACTCCGCAGTCACACGTTTTATCATTATTTGCAACTATGTTTCGAAGATTATCGATCCAATTTTATCTCGTTGCGCTAAGTTCCGCTTCAAACCACTTGATCGTCCAGCAATTATACAGAGATTACACAAAATATTCGATGACCAAAACTTATCTGTTGATAAGGAAGAGACATTTGAGACATTAGTTGATATTTCCGGAGGTGATCTCCGTAAAGCAATTACTTTTGCTCAATCAGCAGCATCAACATGTATTGAAACTAGAAAGATTACATCTGAGATTATCACCAGTATTAGCGGTGCTGCAAACCCATCAGATGTTGAAAACTATTTCCATACCTGCTTAAGTGCAGATTGGGATACAATTGAAAACGCAACAACAGACTTAGTTTATGCAGGATATGATATTAGCCAAATCTTTGAAATCCTCATCAGTCTTATAGTAAAATCAAATGAAATCCCAGAAGCAAAGAAGCCTCAGCTAATTCTTAAGATAGCCCAAGCAGATGGATCTATAATCAACCGCGCCGATCCTCAATTCCAACTTCTTGGTATTTCCGCATCAATCAGAGCTTCTAAATAAAATAGGTTGTTTTTTATGGCAAGTTTTATATTATTATAGCACATCTCAATCACAAGTAATAGATTATTTTGGAATTATTTCAATTATGCGTTTAGATTTACATTCAATATGATGTTTAAATTTTTATTATTAAAGAACACGTTTACTTTTATGTTCCTCTATTTTCCATTGGAGATTTTTAATGAATAACGCACAAACAGGCATAATGAAATCGTTAACAAATAAAGCAGTTGTTTGAGATACGGTCTGGGAACCATTCAATCATGGGCTAAGCCAATATACAGATATTATGCGAACATTAAATACAGTTTCATTCAAAATAATTAAAATTATCGGTTTACTCTCAAAAAAATAAGATCCAAAATACGATGAAGAAAAAAATATAAAATAATGAAGGAAATAAGTCCAAAAGACAACAATGACTTTGAATTATAAAATCTGTAAAATCTTACCAAAAAACAATTAAAATGAAATTCGTAAAGGAATCTATATAACAAATAGTTTAGAATAAAAACAGTCCGATCATAATACGGATTTTAAATTTAACTATCTATGGGGTCTTAAAAAACAGAAACAAGCGATCCTTGGAAAATGTTCTGAGGGCGCGAGTGAATAACAGGGCTCTCTGCTTCGCAAGAGGAGGAAGAATATTCATCGGAAAATTTTGTCTGTATTGACATCCTTTGTGGATATCCGAATGGTGTGCTTGGACGTGGAAGAGAAGCAGCTATTTCCGCAGGATGGCGATTAAAGACTCCCATAAAGCAAGAACCATTTGCATCTTCTGAATCATCAAAATCATCAACATCAAACCATGGGTTCTGCATGAGAATGATTGATGACCATTGAAAGCAATTCAGAGCTTTACATAATAAACTATTGAAATATACAAATAGATAGTTGTCACTTTTTTCAACAAAAATCCTGGCGGTTTATTTCAATCATTATTAAAATATGCACTCAAAATAGACGGTTATAATTCGTTAACTAATAAAAAGATATCGTTTATATGATATACATTTCGATTTAGTAAAACTCAGATAAAAATCATCACTATTTAAAATTCTTTTGAAAGGTTTCACAACCTTAGGAAAAATATATTTTCAGAATCATTGATAATCAACAAACCAATATGCTCTGAATGTAAATTCAAAAAACCGCCGGAGCATTCAAAAAAATTGAAAATCGAATAATCCCAGTGTTTACAAATTTTACATCCCTTCAATTCTACCTTATGGAGATAAGTTTTGGTTTCGCGTATTTATGAGTACAAATCAATATTTGTTTTATTTAGTTTAATCCGCTTTCAATTTTTTCACATAAAAAAATAATTTATTTCCGATATCTTTGAAAATGTACAAATTGCTTCAGTGATCTAGGGCATTTTAATGAATCCGTTTTCTTTTCAAGCCAACCGGTTTTTTACCTCAGAATTTTTTTTCGTCAGTTGGGATAATTTGATATTCAAAAGATTTTCATAAGCATTTTAATCCTGAATCATAACCATTCATATTTATTCTAAATTTATTGAATTTTCTGATAATAGGCCCCCTTGTCAAGTTTTGATTGCTCTCGTGGCTCATCCCTTTTGATAATGTGATACTTAATATTCTAATACACTTAATTTTCTTTGCTATTTACTTTAAACTAAAACAATAATCTTCCCGAAATTTTAAACAATAGTATTTCACTCATTTTCATTAACACAAAGCTTTGTTTATAGATGTTATAAATTAATCTTATTGATTCGCTCTTATTTTATGAAAATTTTCACTCTGTCAATATCAATTTAGATATCTAACGCGAATTATAATATACATTTATTTATGTTCATGTTACCCTATCATATTAAAAAGGAATTATGCTTTATCTCTCAATCATTTTATCTTCCTTATAAAATTATTATTATTAGTCACCTTCGCTCTCTCTCCTTAAGTTTTTCATACTATATACAAATTGATTTTTCATTAATTATTTCCGTATTCTAGACAAATTCAAAGTCAAAGAAATATTACCTTAAAATTCTCTTTTATTCTTTATTTATGTTTATATTCACACAAGGTTTCGTGATACAAAGGCTGAATAGGATTTGAAAATCGAAATCTTGTGTGGATTTAAACGATACAAAGCGTTTGGTCAATCAGATTCATGATACACATTCACATGAATAACAAGTTTTATATTGATATTTAAAAATGCAAGCATTCTTGTAATAAACAGAAATTCATCAAAAGTGACAGCTCTCGATTTTTTGACATTTGTAAATTCTAAATTGAATGAGAAAAATGAAATAATATTAAGCATAATACAATATTCTAGATTTAATTATAATTAGGAAAAAGTTAGTTTTGAGAGTACTTTTCATAGGCATATAGAATGAAATCTTCTGAAAAATAATATCACATAAACTCATATTATTTTCTAATATATAACTATTTTATATAAAAATCAAATTCAATGATCTTAAAAGCGAAGGATAAACCACAAAATTTACGAATATAATGAGTGGGAATATAATGCTTATCTATCATAAAACCATATGAAATATTAATTTTTGCTTTACGCCTAATTTTTGACGACAATTAGCAAAAAATGTTAAATGTTAACACTCAGTCCATTTGAATATGAAAAATAAAATTGACTTTGATTAAATGTTTTTATTTATCATGCAATTCTTCTTGCGACCAAAGATTTGAATAAAATTTCAAAAAATAAGATAGCTTAAAAAATAATATACGGTAGTGTTTACTAATAGATGAATAGTATATAAATTCTATTAAAATGGATTTGATCCAAAAAAATATATAAAATTTGTTCATAAATAAAATCGTTTTAAATTACTTCTTCATTTAAATTATAACAATTATTTTTGGTTTTATATTTTTTTGGATCAAATCCATTTTAATTAAGGGTTTTGTTTTGCTAAAATTGTCACTTTTATAGCATATTTGTTTTTGGATGTTTTGCGAAACCAAAAAAAAAATATGATATACAATGTGTGTGTAAAGAAAATACTTTATTTACTAGTTAAAAAATCATTTGGTATTGATCAAGTTATTTTTTCTGGATAAGATATTATATGGATAATTGGATAGAAAATACAATTATATAATCTTGTACCTGGTTTAATTAAGCTAATTGTCATCAGAAACTTGTAATTTTTATGAATTTCAGATTTTCTTTTCATTACTGCTTTTCTTAATAGGTCAAGTTCTTATTTACGTTATAAAGTATGATATTTACAAATATCAAGTTATCATGTTTTTTGAGAAATTATGAGAAACAAACAAAAATGAAAAAGATAGGAATAGCAATGAATAGTGATGTGGGTATAGAAAATGTAAGAGATATGAATGCAAAGCAATCAGTATTTAGGATATTGACCATAGATTTTGAAAAAAAAATGCTGCATATTGAGCGAAAACTATGATTATATTACAAGGCTGTCATTTAAAGCATAATGAAACTATTTCCTTTTCATTTTAATCGAATAAGATAGTAAAGATTTTTGAATTAGCTAGAAACTGATGAGATGTTTTCACAAATCAGATTTTTAATCTCTATAATGCATAATTCACTCAATATCTCAATTTTGATATTGCGAGATATTTTTGCTATCGGTTTCGCAATTTTGACACAATAGCAAGAGGGTTCTATAAGCATTATTATCAACGTAGAATCTGAATAAAAAAAAAAAAAAAAAAAAAAAAAAAAAGGTAGTGGGGCTTCCAGGCACTTCGTGCCTTCTAGCCCTGATGTTGATGTTTAGTATAAATGAAGTTTTTATTCGGAGGACTCTTCTTCTTCCTCCATTGCTTCTGGGAAGAAGCCTTCTTCTGGGTCGAAAACATTATATAATGTGTCGCTTTTCACAAATTATATATGTTTTCATGTTTTGTCACTTTTCTGTCACTTTTCAGGAAAAAACATTTTTATTATTATATATAAATGAATTTTACAAAACCACCGTTACCGTTCTTTGGAAATAAGAGTAAATGTAAAGATATTATATTGAGAGAACTTAAGAAACTACCGAATGGTCTAACATTTGTAGATTTGTTCGGTGGAAGTTTCTATATATCCCATTTGTGCCATATAATATTCCCAGACTCAAAGATTATATGCAATGACTTCGACAACTATATGGACCGTCTCAAACATATACCAGACACAAACAATATATTGAAAGAGTTAAAAGAAAAGATACCTATAGGTAAGATGGAACGTATACCATTAGATAAAAAAATATTTGAGAGAGGTTTTGAAAAAAGGCAAGAATATATAGACTGGGATATATATCTGCTAGACTATTATATAGTGGTTCTATAAGAGTTCATGACATTGAAACACTTATGTCAAAAGTTTTATATCTTAACTATACAAATGTTTTCAAAGAGGACATAGAAAAATATATTGAGGGTATAGTTTGTGAGATGTCATTGGACAGAGTTGTATGAAAAATATAAAGACAAGGAAAATGTTTTCTTTATAGTGGACCCGCCGTTCTATAACACATGGATTTTCAATACCAAGTAGACTGGACTTTGAGAGACTCTTTAGAAACTTTAGACGTTTTACATAACATCCATGCTTTTACTTTACATCCGATAAAAGTGGTTTGGAAACCGTTATGAGATGGTTAGAGGACATACATGACTATGAGTTTATATATGACAAGATAGAATATGAGAGAGGTCCTATAAACTGGAGAAAGTGTCATAACAAAGAAATTTTATTAGTAAGTAAATGTGGTTTGAAATAGGACTACTTGTTTTAGGTTTTTTCCATTGTGTCATTTATTTATTTGACGTGGCAGAAAAGTACAGAGAATATGAAGATGAACCAATGCCTGCAAATTTCAGTATATGTACTCGTAAGAGATATTTTTATCTAATATTAAATGGACGCACAGAACTTAGCGAATGCACAGCAACCTGGACAACCAAACCCAGAGAATATTCCAAATGAAGTTAGAATACAAACTGCAATGGCAAACTATGGTCAAGTGCCAACAGATGTACAAATGCAAACTGCCATGTCAAATGACGCTGCGTTAGGTTTGCCACCATGGTATGCAAATATGAGATGGAAAGAGTTTTATACAAACCCTGAAGTGGGATATAAACAACTTTATGCAGATGACGCGAACACAGGAGTTGACCCAGAATATGTTTTCTACCAGAGGAGAAACAGAATGTATGAGCTCCAGTTAAAGAATGCTATGGAACTCAACAGGAAACGTAAGAGACTAGGCGGACATTAGATTTTTACATATAGTAAAATGGGTTTCTTCAGTAAGATAGGAAACTTCTTTCGAAATGTTGGAAGAGGTATATGGAATGGAATAAAAACCGTAGGAAGAGGAATTTGGAACGGAGTCAAAAATATTGGTAAAAGAGTAGGTCAGTTTGTTGGTATTATACCTAAAGACCCTGAACCAGAAGAACAAGCTCCTGTTATACAACAGCCTGAACCTGCACCACAGTCTAGTTGGCAACCAAATCCAACACCTCAACCGTATTAAAAATTATATTTTTACCGTTCGATAGTAGTTGTATATGAAACTAAGTTCTAAGTAAAACGCATGGTATAATGGAATTATTCTTTTTCTTCCATCTGTAGTAAACCATACTTGAAAGTCTGAAATACTTCCACTTGGTGGTTCGTATAACTTTGTAGGTTTTTCGTAAAAGTCATTTGCCAAGCATAAGAAAGAGTTTTGGGCGCCAGAAAATGAAGCATGAACAATAATAGCAGCTGGGTCGAAAACATCTTTAAATAAATATGGTTCATCTCTTGCATATCGACTGTAAATATTTGCTAAAGGAAGTTCGACTTTCTGATTTAACATTCTTTGCAAATAATACCATGACATTGCAGTGAATTCTGTATATATTTGTTCGTCTTTCTTTGGATTGTCTTCGTAGATTTGAAATGACACTTGTGAATTTTGTTTGTCATATACAATTCTCACATAAAGTGTGCTCTCGGTATTTGCATATTCATCAGCATATTTTGCATAACATGAATTTATTTTATCTTCTATATTTTTTAACGCAGTCTGTAGAGAAGATGAAAGGTCAACTTGTATTAGCTCAATTTCTTCCCACATTTTTTCGTTTCCCTTCAGATATATAATCTATATGAAACCTTACAATAAATGGAAAACTTTTATCTTCTACAGACACAAACTTCATTCTACGAAAGCCAATAGCTTTTGTGACAGATGGGTCTCTTAGCCATCTTAATGGGTAGTCAAAACGATAGCCTTCATGCTTTACGGTCTCTGTCTCAAACTTTTGACCGACATTAGTAAAAAGTTCATCTAATGGTTTAGTTGTAGCAACTCTTGAATTTTCTTTTTCTATTGGAAGCATATTTTATCTAGAATAAAAATGTCAAATGAAACAGCGTCTATGAGAGAAATACAACACAACCGACAACTCATTATACAAGCTCTAAATAAGAACACAACAAACTTTTCAAACTATTCTAAGATATCTGAGTCATTGAAAGAAGGAAACTTAAAACTGACATTAAACCCAATGACAGATGAGTTTCTGTTTCAAGACAATAAGAACCATACTGTCTGTATAAATCCAACAAAAGGAACTTTAAACGAGAAACCTATAAATGAACTTCTTTTGAAAGCAGATGTTGACAACAAAGCTGACAAAGAATATGTAGACGATGCAATAGCAAAAGAAGAAGAAAGAGCTAACAATGCTTATGCAACAAAAGAACATACTCATCCTGAACTAGCAGACAAAACATATGTTGACAATAAAATGTCAAGTGAAGTGACAAGAGCTGAAAACGAATATTCTAAAAAGACTCATACACATTCTATATCTGAAATAACAGACTTAAACGTTAGCCTTGAAAAAAAGCAGATAAGGAATATGGCTAGTAAGTTAGAGAAGAAGCGGATAAGGAATATGTGGATGAAAAAGATAACGAAATGAAAGAAAGGGTTGACTGGTACCATGAATGGACATCGAAGACTTTTAAAGTTAAAGCCGATACAGGATGGGTTTCAGGATGTTTAGACCTTAAAGCAGATAAAACTTATGTTAACGATGAGTTAGAGAAGAAAGCAGACAAGAACCATACACATACAAGTTTTACAACTGTTGCTATAGAAAGTATTGAAGGAACGGTTGAAGAAACTGGTGGGGATGCAATTATATTGTAAACCTCCTAACTTTCCACAAGGTTTAACATCGGATGACGACATAACGACGATGAGAAACATTAGATGTAAAGATGTTTATGTCATGAAGGATGAACATAATATTAAATTCACTGCTCAAGATTTATATGACAAGAAAGCAGACAAAACAGAGCTTCAAACATTAAAGACAGAAATACTTCAAACATTATATCCTATAGGCTCTATTTATACGTCAATGAACTCTACCAGACCAGAAACAGTTCTGGGTTTTGGAACTTGGACTCAAATAGTCGACAGGTTTTTGTATTGTGCAAACTCTTCAAAGGAAACAGGTGGAAGTAAAACGATTTCAGGTGAAAATTTACCTGCACACAGTCACTACATAGATTTAAGTACATCTCAAGCAGGTTGGCATAAGCATAAATTTTGGGATTGGTCAGCAATGACAAAAGGTAAAGGATATGATGTTAAAAGACAACGTTCAGTTTGCTATAAATTGTTTCTGGGGTGACACTCAGGGAGATGGAAACCATACACATCGCGTTTCAGGATATACGCAAACAACGGGACAAAGTAAAGACTACATGCCACCTTACATGACAGTTTACGCATGGTATAGAATGCTTAGTCGTCATTTTCAACTTCTTTAGCATATTCGTCAGGAGTTGTCTTATATTTGTTAGGAACTGTCTTTGAAAGTATACCACCTTGAACTTTGACAAGTTTGAAACGAGGTCTGACAATAGTAGTTTTATCTTCTGCTTGCAGTGTGTACATTTTGCCATGTTTGCCTAAAACTTCATAATATTCTCTTGTATACTTTCTTCTATTTTTACGAACACGAATGTGAGTACCTGTCGGGTTCCCATTGTTGTCATAGTCAATAGTATTTTCATATGGGTCGCGTTTAGGTATTTCTATTTTTACTTTGTCACCTTTCTTAAGTTTGAAGCCCGGCATTCTTTCTTGTTTGTCTCTTTTGACTAAATTATTAAATATATAGTCTTTCTCTAAGTCAGGGTTGTTTTTCATTTCTTCAGGGGAGTGGTTTCCCAAACCTTTTTGTTTACGGTTATTGTAAATATTTAAAACTTGTCTCATCTTTGCCATGGAGAAGTGTCTATATTTGTCGTCATATGACATTTCATTTGCTTCACCACCTTGTGGTTGGTTTAAGTCTCTTAACATTTTTATACAACCGTCAATGACACCAAGAGCAGAATGGTTTTGGTCGACAATGAAATATTGGTTTACATTTTTTGAACGCAGATAGTTTTTTACATCATCTGATTTGAAAGAACTTTCACAGTCAGATGTCAGTTTTGTTGGATGGTATTTGTCAACGAATATTGTCAAAGCAGTTTTCACATCTAAAATATTTTTGGACCATAATGGTATGGCTTCACAGTATCTTGTGTTTTGACCGACAAATATTAGCCAGTATGGTGGTCCATCTTCTCTATACCTCGGAATGTTTTCCAAGATATCCATAAACCAAGCATTTGGTGTTGAACTAAAGATTTTTATCATGAGTGCTTTCTTTGTCGCTTTAGAAACATAGGGGTCCTTGTTTGGATTCGTCATTTTTTACCCATAAGAAATGGGTTTATTTGGCGCATTAGCAGGAGTTGCATCCAGATTTTTGCCCGCAGTGGGAACAATAGCCAGAGGTGTATTTGGAGTTGGAAGGAAGATTTTGAGTACATTAGGTATACTTAAAGAGAAAGCACAACCTATTATACAAACTGTACAGAAAGGTTGGGATGTAGCACGAGATGCAGCAAATCTTATTCCAAATCCTGAAACAAGAGGAAAAGTTCAAGGATGGATGGACAATGTAGGAAGACAAGCAGGAAACTATTATAACAAAGCAAATGACTACTATAACCAAGCAGGACACTATATGGACCAAGGTGAAAGATTCTTTAACAGAGGATATAACCATGCACAACAGTGGGTAAACAATAACCAACCGCAACCACCTCAAACTTGGGGAATGTAAAGTTTTTTACTGAGATGAAATGAACAATACAGCATTGAGACAAATGGGTTCAAGATGGATTTGTCGACTTCCAGCAGTTACACAACGTGTTTGTCAAGTTCTTCCTATACCTCAGGAAGTTTTAGACCGACTTAAAAAAACAACAACCAGTTGAAAACAAACCAAACTAAAATTTTTTACTGAGATGAAATGACCGAAGAAGTTGAAACGGTAGATTTGACACCACAAACAAAAAGTTCAGAACCATTGTCAAAACCTGTCAAAGAACTTACAGATGAAGAGAAAAATTCAATAATAGAAAGTGCCAGGTCTGGAAATACAAACCCTAACTATAAAGTCACTTTTCATAGAAATGGAACGGCTAGTATCTCAAAAAAGAAACAGACTCTCACAAATAAAATATTGAAGTCTGAAGGAGCTTTCGAGACAACAGATGGAAAAGTTTACTTCACTGACCAACAGTTCATTATAGAACATCTCATTGACTTAGAGTCGAAATATTCTAAACTTTACAACAAACACAAAAAGTTGAAAGGAAAACAAAAACAAATGGCATATGATATTTATGAAGATGTTGACAACACAACTGTTCCTGCAGTGAGGTAAAGTCAGAGGAACCGAAAAGTGACGAAAAACCGATAGAAGAAGAAAAACCAAAAACTGAAGATAAACCAAAACCAAAGTTTAGTTTGGAAACTAAACCAAGTCAACCTTCATTAGCTGGTATGGGTTGGCGTCAAAGACTTATGGCAGCAGCGGTTATGTTAAGTAAAGAAAAAAACATTTTTTTATTTTTATAAAAATGCCCCCATATAGAATGGATAGAAAGTCTGCTAGAATAAAAGCAGAGTTGCAAAGATATGGTTGGAGAGTTTCGAAGAAGTTTAAATATAGGAAGGAAGACCCATAAAAGTCTATGACAAACTGGCTGGTCTTCGCTACGAAATGGATTTGGAAACAGCACGTGCAAATTATCCAAACAGACTAGAGAGGTTAGAAGAAGAACGTCTTATGGACATGCCTTTCGATGTTAGTGAACCTCAAGTTGAAGGACACGACGGCTTTGCCAGATTCTACTGGAAACATGACGAACAATTGCATCCTTTGAGAAGGAAAAAAAGGAAAAGGTGAAGACGCACATGCTCCCATGGAAAGAACAAGATATGCATATGAGAAGTATCGTGAAGTTAGAAGTCAAATTACATCTGGTCGAACCTTTACAGTAAACTTTGACGAAGGAAAGAACAAAGAAGGCTTCATGGGTGTACTTGCTGCCATACAAGATGGAAATAAGAAAGGATACAATCTCAGATTGACCATAACAGATTTGGATGGTCACATTTACTATGCAAATGGCAATGAACAAACAGCTGCAAAACTTCTTGACGCTTTCAAGACTACAAAGAGAGAACAAATGGTTGACTCCGACTCAGACATTTTGAATGCAATTGAAGGAATTGCAAGTGTCAAGTTCGAATGGTACCAACCTAACCCTCAAGCAGTCAGACAACATGCTGGATACTTCCCGTTCATAAATAAGTCTGACATTGACTTGACAAGGTATGGAATTTACAATTCAATTGAAACAATTGTCAATGAACCTTGCATTCTTACATGTCTCAGGAACTCTGGTCTTGTTACAGATGAGAAGATGAAGTATCTTGAGTCATGTGTGAAGACAAGGTACATTCTCAGAGGTCAATTGGCAAAAATTGCACCGTTGGCAAATGTCAATATCCGAGTCAACATACCTACAGCTAAAGGTTCTTCACATGACGACTATGTTGTTGAGTTCAATTTACCATGGTTGAAGATTGCAATTGTCCACAACCACTTCATGTTGAACGAAAGTCTTACAAACCCATTGTTCGGAAAAGGCAAGTGCAACATTGTCAGAGCTGTAAACATTCTTTTCGAGAAAGGTTTGTTGGAACCAATTCCAGATGACAAGCTGACAGAAACTTTTGTACCAAAAGACGAAACAAACTTTTCACTGTTAGCAAGACCAAAAGTTGTTCCAGACAAAGTTCTAGTACAAAAGAAGTACACAATTCCACAAGGAGTTGGATTGTTCGGATACCAACCTGAACCAGAAGAACTTCCAATGAGGTTGCAAGAACTTCAAGATGCTATAAACAAACTTCCATTGAGACATCCAATTGACGTCAAATTGTATTGGAGAGCATCTGAGTTAGGTCAGAAGGTTTTATATGAAACAGGTTGCTTCGACGATGTTTATGAGATAACAGGAGAAGTTTCTCAGAAGATAAGAGACTCACTTGAATTTCCACAAACTGGACCAATTGGTTGCGACAAGTTCGACTCAGATGAAAAGATATACTATGTCGACCTTAACGCTGCATACATGAGGTTTGTCCAATATATTCCGACTGGAATTCCAAACGAAGATGGAGATGGTGAGTTTCCGGGAAGGAACTATACAGTTGGAAAAGTCATACAACAACTGTATGATATTAGGAAAGCTTCAAACCCCAAACTTGCAATGACACTCAAATTGCTGTATGAATTCGACATGGGGATATTCCATTAAGAAACCTCAAGAGATGAAGAGGTAAACATTATGAGAAGGTCGACAACTTTGTTGAAGCAGGTTTTCTCCTTTTGTTTGAAGTACGAATTCACTCAAGGTCAAAGTGGCTTAGTAACCACATTAAAACCTATTGTCGAACATTGGTCTTACCCTCAGTTCGCCAAAGGCAGTCCTTGACAACTACAACAAATTCTTCTCCGAAAGTACAATCCAAGATGAAGGTTACTATGAGAACATTGACGCACTCCATGACGAACGAAAGAGGTACAAAACAAAACTCATGGAAATGGGCATGGTCGGTGAAAGATGGGTCAATTCAAATTTGACAAAATTTTCACCGAAGTTCATGTCCTCTCCAAGCGTAAGTACTGGGGCAATACTTGAAGACGGCACAGAAATAAAACATTGCATGAAATAAAAAATTTTATTCGAATTTGAATTAAAATGTGGGAATTCTTGGAACGGGAAAGGCTTATTTACTTGAGGAACAGGTAAAGGTGGTGGAGGTGCGAGGTGGTGGCAACCAGTCCATTTTATATTCCTTCCTAGCTAATTTCCGTTTAATTTCATGTCGCCTCGGAGTGCTTTGAATCGGAACAGGTCGAGTGTACACCATTCTTGCGTCTCAAACTCATATATAACCTGTTTGTCGTATTTTCGTCGACTATGGCACGAGACACGCAACATTGACCAAACGGACAAAAAGTGTCATTTTCGGATGGTCACGCAGCCAATCGCATTCCGAGCACTTCGAAGAAGCCCTTACGTTCCAAGGGGAGAGGGTGTCTCGGCTGCAAGGCAGAGGTCATGAAACTCTAGCGAGCAGTCACATTCCTCAATGCCTGGGAGACAAATCGTCCTTGGATTGGCAAATCTACCAACTCCTCTGGACGACCTCCTACGCAACTGGGATAACGAAAGAGCCCAATTCAAAGGTAGGAACTAATTTTGCAAATTACCCTTAATTTAACATACTTATCAAATAAACACCTAAATTTACTTGGGGTTTCCCCCTAAAATAAAATTTTTTTTACTCTTAGAACCACTCGAGGTTCTCCTTACGGTTGTTGAGCTTGTCACCGTCAATGTGCTCTGACCTTCCGTCTTCTTGCCTGGATTTGGAACCCATTGACATTGGACAAGCTTGCCCATGGAGATGAACCGCGATCCGCCAAGGAAGGTTCAAGTGTCCAATGTTGAGGACGCACGGTAAGAACCTTGTCGTCGGTCACACCTGTGGGCTGGGATGTATGGTAGGTTGGGAAATTTCGTAACCGTCATCGGCAACAAGGTTGCCCATGTAGCGGCTTCAGGAACTTCTTCGTGTTTCTCTTCTTCCTCTTCTTCCTCTTCTTCCTCTTCTTCCTCGACAATTCCTTCTTCAATCTCATGTGTCACGACAGCACGGTGTTGCATGTTCTGTCCCTTGCTCCGAGTACCTTCCAGACTGGCGCATCTCAAATACAATCGCAACCACCCGAAGAGAAAGAAATTTCAACCACATCAGGGAGTTATCCATTCATGGCCTCTGTTAGCGATCCAGGTTACATTAGTCCCCGGTCCGCGATGATTCACCCTGCACACGCCATAGATATCTGAGTAGCCTTCTCTTGCCGGATCACTCGACGTTCTAATCCACTCCTGATGCTCTTCGGCAAACTGTCTGCGCTGATCCTGTCCTCCTGCGTAAGCGTCTCTCTCGCGTAAAGACCAACCCCACAACCACAACCCACAAACACCAACAGGCCCCAAGGGGAGGGGGTGGGGTGGGGCGGTTGTGGATGGGGGTAGATGTTTCCCTGAAATCGTTCAGGCATCTCATGGAAGCTGGTCTCGTGAGGACCTTTCGTCTTTAGAAGACTTGCGTCACTCTGTCATAAGACTACTTTGAGAGTCTTAATGGGACCTGTAGAGCTCAGTATGAAGGCTTTGTATCAAACTTGCGTCTCTCGCCTGCTTACCTGGCGTCGGTCCAACATTTGCAATGATCTTATAACTGCCGCGCCAGTTGTCTGCAACCTTGAAAGACATCTGTCTTATTGTGTGTACCTGTCGGCTTCGGTGTTGTTGTA